AGCTGGGCCGACCCTTCCACCCATGAGGGTGGGAGCAAGGCATAATAGGGTATATGTTGAGGGTGGGTGTAGGTATTTCACTCCCACCCTTGCGAGTGGAAGGGCTGGACAGGGCACAATTCGTTGGCGGGGTGCTGCAAGTTGGATGAATGTGCCTGGCGGGTTGGATGCAGCCTGCGGGCCATATTTTGCCTACCCCTGCACTAGAGCACCTTATTTCACTAAAGCAGAGTACTGACATGTGACGATTACCACTGTGCTAAGTATGACCACAGATTTGACAGAGATGCAACACAAAGTATGGGTATGTGTACCTCTTTCAGAAAAAATTAGTAATCCTAGAACTATTATTTTTGTGCTTTGACCATTCCACGTACTTCCTTTCAATACAAAAATTATGCTCAACTTTTTACAAAGAGTATTCTAGCCTAACTACGACGAGTGATTTGTATTTTGTATAAATGTCATAACAAGAAGTATACAGCCATACACTGGATTAACAAAATTTCTAAGAATAAAAAGAATTTACAGTTCTTTATGTCACAACCCAAAGGGTGTGATTTTTGTTTTTGTGCGCTTCGGCACTGCTAAATTGTTCCCGCTAAATTACAGCTTCCTTGCACGGTGGAGTTTTCTGCTGCAAAAGAGAACCCCGGTGCAAGGGAGAATTTCCCGCCAATTTGAAGCTTTCTTTGCAGGGTGCATTTCTTTGTTGCAGCACAGAAATGCTCGTTGCAAAGAGTTCCCGCCATTTGTATGCTAATTCGAGTCCCATTATTGGCCAGTTCTAAATTATTCACACGTGGCGGCTAGTGATTGGCTTGCTAGCCGTATAAGAGGCTTGAGTGGTTTCCGCCCAAGTTGGAGGACTCCACGAACAAGGGAGGAGACTTCACGCTGTGTGAAGATCTCTAAGCGCTGCGGATCCTTACGGACCCAGCGCATTTCAAGCAGGCAACAGAGGTCTGATCAACCTCTAGCCTCTCCCCGCCACCGATAGATTCCCAGACGTATCCCTTCCCGTGCGCAAACGAACCGGACCCACGGAGCCTAGCAAACTTCGTGTAGCAGAAGGACCCACGGAGCCTAGCAAACTTCGTGTGAGTCCTTGCCAGACGACTCCAGAGCTCTTCTACCCGGGTTCGAGTCCTGCAGGTTTATTTTCCCGTCGCCGAAACCCTTCGCGATGTACCCTCGTATTTTTCATCTTCCCGTCGCCGGAACCCTTTGCAACGTACCCTCGTGCCCTGCAGGTTCGAGTTTTGTTTTCTTTTCTGTCTGTAACCGCAACTCAAGCAAGCTTTCCAGCCTACACCACTGCCATCTCGGTGTAAGTAAACAATCTTTTAAAATTACCACTACGCGTTTGTGCCTAATTCCAGCTCGAAGGCCTTCCCTCTCCGACCCGGCGTGCCCGGGCTGCTGGCCACAGCCCGCGTGCAGCGCGAAAAGGGCTCGGGTCGCTCCCGGCCCGCACACTTTACTACTTTTAAAATATCTTGCCTTTCTTGTGCATTCAGACCCTGAATAGATTTACCTGTGACTCGCATCATACATCACACTGAACCCCCTGCTGGGAAATGTCAGAGAAGTGACAGCTTTCACTGAGACACTAGTACTTTGCTTAGTTATAGAGATAAGGACTCACATTAGATATACTGAAAATGGCACAAACATTTATTTTCCTAAGTGTGTAATTACTGAAGCAGATTGAAATCTGCTTACAAATGTAAAAAAGCAGAATTTGTCTTGTGTTTAATAAGGCTGGAAATTTCAAAATATCCTTAAGCAGTTAATTTAACTCTCAGAGATTAAGCTCCTTTGAAAATCCTGTTGTAAATTATACAGCTGCGTATACTGTTATCAATAATCACTGCAACTTTCCTTTAAATGCACAGAGGTACTACTTGGTATCTAATGTATAGCAACTGACAATCAGTGCTTTTTTTATATTAACCATCCATACGCCAAAACACAATTTCTTTTCTAGGACTTGTTACATTGGAAGGTACAATCTAAAGGACTTCTTGTGTCCCTGAATCACATATCTGCTACCCACTGATATTTCCTACTGCTCATGTTTAGTGTTCCTAATGCACAGTTACAATCTGGGTCAAATTCTGTTCTCAGTTAGATCAACATAAACCATAAATAACTGATTTGAAATTTGAATCTCACCCAGTATATTAGCATGAATTAGTCTCTTTCTTTATACTTTTAATGCCAAAAATATTTTTCATCTTTTATCCATGTTCATTCTAATATTACATATTAAAATAGCATCCCTTTAACATGTGCAAACTCCAGTATTTTTAAGCACAAATAAATACCATCACTAGGGCAAATATAAACAGTCTTTGTTGAACTATGCAATGAATGTTTACAATAACAGAAGTACATTAACCATCGGGACGAGTAGTAAAATAGTTGCACAACATAAGCTGAATTTATGTTACACGTACAGGAAGTGATTATTATCTTTATGCTTGAATTGGCAGAATGTTCTAAAAACATAAAGCAAAATCTAATTACCATACATTCTTCAGCTATGATGTACAGAATGTATCTGTTTGTTCATGTACATTAAGATATATAAACACAATTCCTCAATAAGGTTTTTGATTTTTCTTTAAAGTTTCCATGAAAAAGCTGGTAAACCAGTGCTTAAAATCTTATTACACTATATATAAACCACCTTTCACCAACAGAATGAAAATTCAAACACCAAGCATAAACTCAGTACTTTTACTAACAATTTCAATGCATAAAATTACTGATGTGAAGTGAAACTTTACCTTATAATTCCAATTGTGCTGATGGGTATACCCTTCCCCTTTTTTAAAATCACATATCTGCTAGCATTTTAAGAGTAAAGAGGTCTTTTTCCTTTACTTATTTTTTGTTGTTATAATTAATGCTAAACCATGCTGTCCAAACTAAAGGACTAACTATGCACTTGGACACATTATGTATGGTCCACTTATGTCAATCTAATTTGCATTTTTGTTTGATCTGGGTAAACTATGCTGTAAGAAATTAAGGTTTCAAATTATTACTCACGAATTATATGGGGTAAAAGCAACGGAGGTGAGAGTCCTGAACAGCAGCAAGACTAAAAATGTATTATAATAAAGGCTCTGCACAGTACAGCATGCAGCAGATTTTTACAAAGTTTTCATTATAATTTTCTTATTGTTAAATCTCATTTTCTAACATGAATCTAATATCTTAAGACATACTGCTCCAACTTCACTGGAAGATACTGGAGTTCTGAGCCTCTGATGAAGTGGCTGTGAAGGAAATGCATCCATCATAAGAACTCTGCTAAAATCTGGGAGTGTGAAAGATTAGTACTTTCTCTCTCTCACACAGATGTACATGTTCTGTATTTACATTTTCTATTTTGAGACCTACAAATGAATAGTTTACTATGAAGCTAGGAAGACCTGCTTCCCTTGAGAGCCTAATACAGGCAAGAATGCCAAGAAAGATGGGGAGAATATATCTATAACAGTCATACTAGAAAACTGAGTGCATCAAAATGTTAACAATAACATCACATGGCAAAATTATGTTGATATGCCCATTCTGTATACCATTCTACATACTTAAACAATATGGCTGCCTCCAACAAGAGGACATAAAAACCATGATTTTAATGAGAGAGAGAGGCATACAGACAGACAGAGAAAGACTGGGGATGTTGATATTACTACTAAAGGAAAGTGTGTACAAATACTCTTGAAAAGGATAGTGAAAATGTATCCTGCTACCTTGTTATATATTAAACATTAAAGCAATTGGCTCTTTCCTGACAGCACCCTGTCTGCATCACAAAAATCATGATTTGTGATGCAGTCAGCAGTATAACATCATCATATTCAAACTAAGCCAACCACAAACAATTCAGTTGTTTTCTTTCATTGAAAACTGGTTTCACTCCTGCTCCAGCTTCCTGTGCATCCATCTGTTCAGTTCACTATGCATTTGTTTGCCATATAGAATATAGTATTATTATTGCACTGTTCTCACTTTTGAATAAACATGGAGCCATTTTGCATGTTTGAGAGGGTTGGCAGTAGAAACTAAACTGCAGATAATCCAGGAATGCATGTCAAAGTCAAAAAGGATTGTCTCATACTTTAGCTATCCACATTTCCTATTATTTTTTAAGCTGGTAATCAATACCATGAGTTTAAATGAAGAGGGAAATAACAGAGAGTACTGTGTAGCTTAATGAGTAGCAATTCTGCACGCTCTCAATCTGAGTTAATAATCAAGAGCAAAATTTTAAAATTCCTATACTTTAACTGAAATTACACAAGAATGAATTTGGTCCTGTATGTTTTATGGTAGCGGAAAGTATTCTGCTTATGTTATATACCATTAGCATTTTTAGAGTCTAATCTGAAAACAACTACCCAAAATATAATTTTACTGAATTCATACATATGAATAAAATTAGGCATGTTTTTATTCCTTCAGGCTCTAAAGATCCTAACCAAAATCCATTGAAGCCAATTGGTCTTGGATAAAGTTTAAGAACTTTGCAATGGGATTTTTAAACTCACATTACTCTTTACTATTACTGCAGCTATGAATGTTCTTGTGTCAAGGACACATACTTTTCTACTTAATTAAAACATTCTCAAAAAAGTAAGGTTTTTTAAAATGTCCAGGAGGAAACTGTGGTCTTAAAAAGTCATCTAATAACTATAACTCAGAGGGACAGATTTCCATCTCCAGCTCCCTTTGTGCAAAACTGAAGTTTATTTCCTACCTATGGGGACTTTTTACCATCCTATACCATCTACACTTTTCCCAGAGCCTGACAAAGGGACTTTGATCCCGAAAGCTTGCAGAAAAGGACAATTTTCTTGCCATTTTCCAGTTGGTCTAATAAAAGGTATCATTTTGGAACCAAAGAGTTCTAGTTTTTTGCATGTCTTTTTGTCTCAGGCCAACACGGCTACCAAGTACCCCTCTAATAACTATAACATTTAATTAAAAGTAAATATTTAATATAAAAATTTGAATTAATTTACATTAACTGAGGATGAGTAAATCTGAACAAAGATGTTTCCTCTTGGTTTGGTTTCTTTCCTTTTCCTGATATTAAATCACAGTAACTATGCAGTTGGATATATTATCAATTCAGCATACTAGAATAATATAGTAACACTTATAAAACATGGAAATAGACTGTAAAGTGATAACTTGCAAAATCAGTGCATTTAGCTTTTGGTTTACAGTAAAATGGATTAAAATATTCCTAAATTATGGGCTGTTATATAACAACTGGGAACTATTAAGAGTGAAAAGGGAAAAGTGAGCATATGATTAGATGTAGCTCACCAAATAATCATGAAGGAAACCATTCATGTTTTATATTCCTTATTAAGTAGTATTAACTACACTGAATTTTGCCCTTTTGAGGGTGCGGGAAGGAGAGAGTTGAAGTTTACTCTGCTGATGCACAGGTAACTTACTAACGCTAATGGAACAGTTCAGAATACGTATCAACCTGGGAAAAGAGTACACTGCTGCAAATATTCATATATTTTGGCTGCAACCCAACAAGACTGGAAAGTGCTCCCTGAAATCACTTGTTTAGATTGAAACAAAGGACTGTAAAGCCAATGTAATTACAACAGTGTCTAATTTTGTCTTGAAGGATATGGTAAAAATATTACACTGAAAACAAAATGTTCTTTGAAGGAAAATTGAGCCTTTTTCATCTTCTGGCCCAAAGTTAGTGAATCTTCTCCTTGGTACAAAAATTCCAATATCAGAGGTGTATCAACTGTATGACAGACTCTTAGCAGCCAGCAAATTTATTCCAGAGGCAGAAAAATCCTAATAAGTCTCCATGGAATGCCGAAATCATTACCTAGACTCAAACAGCTCCATAAACAGCATTATTTTTTACATAAAAAATAAAGTGTTTGAATTACTTTATTGCACCTGCAACTGGCCCCATTCAAGTCAAACATTACATTATTTTAGCAAATTAAATAAAAGGTATTTCTTAAAGGTGTCAAGCAGAGATATTGTATATGCATCATAGAAAAGAACAGCCTAAAGTATGACAAACAGTAATCAGAAAGATGATAGAAAATATAATTTTTTTTCTTTTTCATGATTTTTTTACACCTATTGAACAAGATTGCGTAGACACTTGCATTCATGAAGAAGATCCTTCTTTGGGTAAGTCAAGGCGTTGAAGCAGGAGTCACTTTCAGACTGTCAAGTGCTGCATGAATCCTAAAATGTAACCTGGACTCCATGGAGTAATCCTTGTAATTGTTTCTGCAAAGAACAAAATAATTTAATGAGTTAGAAAAATCCAAGCAACATTCCGTCTCTTTCTCTTCCCTTCATTTCATCTGGTCCTTTTCAACAGTCCTCATCACTTCAGAACGTATGAATCAGGTCTACTGTAAAGACAGGAATTAAAAACCCTGATAGAAAAACAGCCCTACTTAGTACACTGCAGTCAGGTATGGACACTGGGCACTGCAGAAACAAGTACAGACACTGAACAGCTTCGAATACAGCACCTTGTATAAGCCTACAGAGATCAACAAAAAACCCCAGACTGCAGCAGACGACAGGAAATGGGAGGATCCAATGATGATAGATTAATTAAAACTTAAGAAAATCATGGTATTTAAATGTTTAAAGCATCTCATGTATAACTGCTGCACTGTAAACTAATTTTATGCCAACAGTCAGGGGAAAGTTCCAGCATACAGACTGGGCGAATGGCAGAATTGTTCCCTTCCTCCTTTCTGCCTGTGGAGGAGAGAGAAAAGTGGCCACTGAATACATGTAGTTCAAAATTCACTAGCTCTTCCAGGCCATTGTTACCACCCATAAACTCCTTCACTACAGCATAATAGGCATCCTGTGAACCTACTTATATGCACAGGAGGTAGGGATCCTTTACACTCTCTCTCCAATTCACCAGCCTCCATGCAGCAAAACCACACCTTCTCTGTGACATACACTTTGAATGGAAAGTAGGTGGGATTTGCCTTTAATACAGCATGGCATAGTCAAAGTAGACTTTAATACATGGCATAGTCAAAGTAGAATATAAATGTACTTTACAGTGCATTATAAAGTAGAAAGTATATATGATGCATACACTTTAAAAAGTAATTTCTACTGGAAAACATTTTCTAAGTATTCTTGTAAAAGATGCAGTATTACTTTATGAGTTTTACAAAATATAAAATAGCATGCAAGAGATCAATCCATCCATCCATTTTTTGTTTGGAGCTTCTCAGTTTTACTCTAGGGAATATTGCACAGAGGCAAATATCAATTTCACTTACTTTGCAGTTTCTATGTATCGTATTGCTTTTTCTCTCTCATCCCGTTGTTTGTACAGAAGTCCCAACTCATATAGGGTAAATGGCACCAAGTAGTTATCATACTTTATCTGTTTTTCACTAAGAAAGCAGACACACATAATTGGTTAATTATCAGTATTAAACATGAAATGCATGTTGCGCTCCAGTTTAATGATTATTAACTTAACTGCAAAGTATATTTCAATTAAGCTAATGTTTTAACACACAAAAGCCTAGGACTAAGCTCCTATATGCCTGATGAAGGGTGTTTGTGCACAAAAGCTTGCAGTTAAGGAAGTTTTTTTGCAAAAATCTTCTTGGTCTAATAAAAGATATCATCTCTACTATGAATTCTGATTGCCTTATAACTAAATTAATGCATTTGACTGATCACTAAAAGTTTTGAGTCCTTAATAGTTTCCATTAACTTCACTGAATTGTTGAGTGATTATTTTTTCATTTCTGGAAATATTCTAAACATATTTTAGAAGTCTAAATTTAAGCTCCTTATTTTGAGACTCCTGTCCCTAATGTTTTCCATAGGTCAGACAAGACAGCAGTCAGACTCTTCCTCACCACACTTATAGGAAATACAACAAACCTTGTAGGATTATAAATGACTTAACTGCCATAACAGCCAGTACCTTGAACTTAAATGTGTTTGGTTAAACTTAACAATTGCCCTGGTTCATTGACAAGTTTTATGAACTGAAACACATATGTCAAAATTTAGAATATTAATTTCATGAATTCCTTTGGAATCGTCAGTTAACAAAATACTCTTATGTGAATACTGAGAAACTTTGATTCTATTGTCTCTATCAAAGCCACAAAACCACACCTGGCAAAGCTGTTATGCATGTTCTAAGCTGTTCTAAGACAATCCAGGCTGTATATATCCAGCACTGGACCAAACCCTGTGAAGTTTTGAATGTAGAAAAAGCTGTCCATTCATAGGATGAAGTCACCGGCAGAAAAACAGAAATGGACTGGTAATCCTTCTTCTGGTTCTGCCTGCCACAGCTCAGACCCTGAATATAAAATACGAAGTGTGACAGGAAAAGTCAGGCAATCATCTCAGTGCCCCTTTGCTTGGTGAACACCAGGAAAGAACAACTGTGCCAAATGTTAATGGAAGCAGTAAAAAAATTCTTATCAAAAGGAAATTCAGCACGAACACATTTATTGAAAACAGTGAAAGATATCTGAGAACATCCCTCAGCGAGCTACTCAGGGGCTTTATAAATATCAAAAAATCCTGTTAAGTCTAAGCAACCAAGACTTACTAAACTATGATAAAAAATGGTCCTGATTCTCAGAGTCCAAAACTGTCTTGAAGCGAGGCCCTTTTTCCTTTGGAAGGGTCTGCCTTTGCCTTTCACGGTCCCTGCGCATCTCACCTAGTGTCTCTTCTATTAGTGTTTCGGTGACAGGATCCGCCAAAGTGGGTAAGCTTCACTCTCCCTCTACCTAAGGTAAATAACTCATTTTAACTAATCAAATCAAAAACTGTTTAATCTATTGTCTCATTAAAGAGCAGTGAAAGAGCACAAGGTCTGTGAGAGAAAGTACCACTTTTTTTTTTTTTTTTTACCCTTTTCTCTTTTGCCATCTCTGGTTTTCAATGGCATCCAGATGTGGTTATGGAGCTTCTTTGCTTTATAGTTCAAGACAGGAATCAAAGAGAAGCAGGGAAGGGAGTTTTGAGAGAGAGAGATGAATGTAGGTTTTGTGCTGATCCTGAGCAAGTAAGCATTTTTTTCTGATAAAGAAGTGGGGGCCAAACGCCCCAACAAGAGGTACAGAAACGATTGCCACGTTGCCATATGGTCTCCATCCATCTTTGGGAGAAACATCAATTCTGTCCTCACAACCACAAGGACTTCCCAGTGCAAAGTCTGCTTCCTCCAAAGGAATTCCTGTGTGCATGGATTCTGAAGTTTTCACCCAAAACATTTCATCATACTCCACAATGTGAAGTCTACATCTTTAATTACTATCCTTTTTACCTTTGGATAACTTGATTGAAACACAGCTCAGCTTGCAAGAGTCTTCCCAGGTATTTCAGACAGAGGCCTTTTAGTAACTGCAGCAAGCATACATCATCCATGTAGTATTCACTATGATCTTAAAACAGAAACAAAAGACATTTTTTAGACATGCATTATAAAAAGCTCTAGGAATGAGTAAGGGAGATTAGTATATCAAAATTTTGCACCAACAAGGACTTAGATGACCTCTGATACCAGTTCTGAATTGTTCCCAATAAAGCAACCAAGAACAAAAATCCCAACATGCCAATACAGTAATTCCTGCAGGCAACTACTCAAAATACACAGGGACTTTTAGTCTATATCATGGAGTCATTAAAACCTGTCCAAAGTAACAAATCTTTATCATGTCAAAATGGAGGCATATTTTTTGCAGAACTAAGATTCTGCCAACAAAGCTGTAAGTGCATTAACACTCACAGCTCCCCTTCATTCTGCCAGCAGACCAACACCTGCTCTGTGAGAAACAGAAGGCTTCTGCTGCCACAGAAAAGCTGCTAGAAAGCACCCACACACTCTGCTGGCAGCCCCTTTAACAGCTGGTGCTTCCCAGGGTGCACTGTACACCGTGCCAGCACAGCTGTTGCAGTGGAACAACGTGGGGACATGTTCAGGCAGTATCCCTGTGGTGCCAGCTATCTACTGACAGAAGACTTGTTTTGCACTGTGAGTCTGCCTACAATATCTTTTCCACACTAAGGTGCCCCTCCCACTGGAGAAGCTGCATTAGCAGAGGTGTAACAGCAGGAGAATTTAACAGAAAAAGGGTTTATGCAGAAGTGGCCTCTGTTCTGTATCACCAAAGACATGAAGGAGCTTTGCAAAGTATATCAGAATTTCAGTAGTAGCATGTGTGGTCCTTTCTTGTTGGCTTATAACATTAGCTGGTTGCAGCAAAAGAAAGGAAAGAAAACACATATGGAGAGACAGATGGCTGCACATACATTAACAATTCAGGAAGCAAAACACCCTCCTTTCAGATCATCTTGTTTACAAGTAATTACCAGCTCTCTTAGGTTACATTAATTTTTTTAAAATAGTCTGCCAAATACAGCTATACAAACAGTTCTGCAAACATGGACAGCTAAAGCATCTTGAAACGTAACTAAATGTTTTGCCAGTTTTGAATGTAGAACACTTGCCAACTACTTTTAACATGATTAGTTTCAGTGCTTTTACCAAGAATGCAAAAATCCATTTTTTTATTGATACATGAAGGTGAAGTGGGCATTTTGCATTATTCTGGCATACAGAGAAGGAATCAGGAAACAGAAAGAGACAAATGCCTCCCCAAGGACTGATTTCCTGTAACTGATGTTTTTCAGTCTTTACCTCCTACTTCAACTGCTATGTACCTGAGATTTTCCCCCAGACCTAAAAACTAGTAAATCACAGCTCTACAGTTTGACGGTACATTAAGCTAAACGGAGTTAATAATTATACTCCCAAACTATGGTCAAGTGCCTTTACCAGGGTTTTACTGCCTCCCAAAAGTGAAAGATTAGCTCTTAATCCATACATCGGTCACAGACTTCCAAGTTTTCACCTTTTTGCAGACACTGTTTAAAAATATTTTTCCACATTTCATTTTTACACAGACAGAACGCCTCAGATTTCTTTATTGTGATTTCAGTTAGTCTCCTCTCCCTGAACTAAAAACTATTCAAAACATCAGGTTTGCAAAACAGGTATCTATCTGACTGGTATAAGTGAGATATAAAACTATCCTCTGTCTGCATTCCATTATGTGGGGGAACCGAGTGATGTGCTGTGTTAAATCTTTTCCAATGTGTCCTTTACATTTTTATTTCAATTCTGGTGAGACATTCCTTTTGTCTATTTGTACTCTGGATAAGACAGTACAAAGTTTGTTGTTCTCTGTGTGCGGGCCGGGAGCAGTCCAAGGCCCTCGGGGGGTTTTTTCGCGTGGCGGGCTGTGGCCAGCAGCCCGGACACGCCGGGTCGGGGAAGGCAGGCAGCACGCTAGAATTAGGCACGGACGCTTAGTGGTTGATTTAAGATTATTTTACTTACACCGAAGATGGTCGCGGTGCAGGCAGGAAAACTTGCTTGAGTTGCAGTTACAGACAGAAAAGAAGAGAGGTGGACTAGAGTTCCTTCCCGTGAACCTTCTAGCCCAATCCGGCTGAAAGCTCTAAACCGCGAGCCCGTTGTGTCAACCGAAGAAAGTAACTCGAAGAAAAGAGCTCTGAATACACTCACACGAAGTTTGCTAGGCTCCGTGGAACTTGCGCGCAGGGAAGGGTACGTCGAGGGATCAGGCGGCGACGGGGAGAGGCCAGAGGTTGATCAGACCCCTGTAGCCTTCTTAAGGTACACACTGGGTCCAATAGGCTCCGCAGCGCTTAGAGGTCTTCACGAAACGTGAAGCCCTCCTCTTTCTCTTTTTCTCTCTCCAGATGGTTGTGGAGTCCTCCATTTCCTCCTCCAACGTGGGCGGAAACCGCAAATAATTTAGCAGTGCCGAAGCGCACACAAACAAAAATCACACCCTTGGGTTGTGACACTCTGGATAAAAGAATATGTTGTTCAATAATCATTCAGAGTACGACCAAGGTCGGTTTCATTTTATGAGTATGTTCTAACTGGTTAGCAATAGCAGAAGCCTCCAAACCTCACAATAACTTGTTTAAACTCACATGTGCCACAGCCTTCTAGGCTAGGGGCAGAAATTACACATAAACTGGTATAAGTGATCAGAAACTGTAACACAACAGAAGTTCATTACACATAAACTACTTTCAGAATGGAAAAAAACAATTTAAGATAAACCTGGATGGATGTAGTATCAGACAACTGATTTAGGTTAAATCAATTTATTGAACTTCTGTTCCAGATCCCCTCCAAATTCAAGTTAACTCACAGTCCCCCAGAATCCCAGGATGAAAGCTCCAGCTGAGCAGGAAGGCATGCTCTAGCAACTCCTGGTTTCTGGCGTGGGCCACTGCAGGCATGTGGCTGCATTTGCTGAATCAAAATTGAATGTCTATGCACTTGCTTTTATCAATTCAATCTACAGAGCTTAGACTAACCTGTGAAGATTGAGTTGATTCAGCCTCAGACTTTTTGACTGTCTGTACTTATGCCTAAAGATACAACTCCCCACAGCATCCATGCCCAGATAGCAAACAGAACACTTATAAAAACAACTCATCATATCAAGATCATTTTATTTGCAAATATCTTTCTTAAATGTAGATGCATTTCAGCATAACAATGTCATGCAATTAAAAAAAAATGAATTGCCCAATTTGACAGGTGCAAGTCTGATTTGTTATAAAGTGAAGATTCTGACAATGCTGACTAGAATGAAAGATTAATAATGAGCCAAATTTTCATACCTGATATAAGTCCACCCTGCCTGGCCTATTATTTTTACTAGATCTTATTTTTTGCAAAACACTTTATTTGTTATATATGCTATTTATGTTATTGATGTGTAATCTTTTTACCATTAGTATTCCAATGCATCTAAATTAAATCAACTCAGTAGGTTTGCTACAAATTGCTGACAAATTATGAAACTTAATTTCACCCTAGCAGATTCATTAAAAAGTTCAAATGTGTTTATAAGTTGCAGAGGTTATATTACTTTTTAATGATTCCAGTAATTGTAACCTGTTTGCAACAGGTAAAACAATCCAGGCTACCCATGTGATATGTTTGCCTGTCCTTCTCCTGTTCCTCACTGGATACAGCAGAGCCGAGAAATGGATGCCCCAGCCACTGCTTAATGGATGCCAGCCACCTACTCAAGTCTTGCTTCAGAGACAGGATATCTTTTTAAATGTAAAGTGTATGTTTATAATAAGGGTCTTGGGAGTTTACTCTCAAGAATGCCCCACCCACCCATTTTAAACCCAGAAATACAGCAATGAAACCACTCTGAGCATGCTCCCTGACACCTCTCCTATGCATGCTGAACTGATAGATCTTGACAGCAGCAGCCATGTGTGACCTTACTGCAACTTCATCCCTTCACTTATAAGTTTGGCTCACAGAGTAGAAGGGCATGCTCAACTAGCACTTTCAAGACTGCTGCAAAAACAATACAGACATACCAAAAATCCTACAAGGGCATCCCAGTAAGAATTCCCAGGAGAAAAAAAGATGGCTAAATACATTTATAACTCAAGTATACAGAAGACAATTCAGCTGGAAATAAAAGACTCAGCATAAGGAAGAAACAGCTTAGCTCAGAGTGGCAGACACTTGAAAACAGGAAGATGTGATTGTAAAAGCCTAAAACCTTGGCAGAAGAAATCAAGAGCAGGTGCAAGACCTGAAACTTATAGCCTCTATTTTAAAAGAGAAGTTTTGAAGTTAAGAAGATTGCTTCATATGCTAAACATTCCAGTCACATCTTAAATTTGTATTAAAATAATTTAATTCTTTAGTATTAATAGGAATAAGATGTATTCATATACTGTCAATAAAAATAATCGGCAAATTTAATCTGAATAATTTTGGAGAAGCAAAAAATTAAAATGATAGCTATATATCTGCCACACTAAACTTGCAAGTTTTATAATATATTCTTTACATGTAGGAGTTTTATGCTGATACACTGGGGAAAAAAGACATAAAAGTGTAATATTCTGCGAAGGAGACTGTGGTGTTAGAGATCAGCTTTCAAGTAAAAAGTCATTACTTTAACTTTAGTTTAATTATAGTTGGAGAAAGAGGCAGTTAGGTTTTCTTTGTTCAAACAAATTATTTAGAGATGGGATAGTGACATGCCTTTGGCACATTTTTTGTGATCTATTATAGAAGGATTTTTGTTTGCATGCCTTTCTTTTCTCTTATTTATTAAAATTAAATTGTCACAAAATAATCATAATTATTATTGATATAATTATATGGATTAGGACCATTATTAGTTTGGGTTTACATGCTGTGTACTCACCCCTTTGATTTTCTTTACTATCCAGGATATTCCATTGCTTCCATTTCCTGCTTTCAGTTTGTACTGACACCTTTCCTTGATTCTTTCCTGTAGCCCAGATTTCAAAGGATTGTTTACAGGTCTACAAATTATCTTCTACAGATAGGAATTTCAGAGGTTTTGGCAGCTTTACAAAAGCCTTAGCCTTGTTGGGGTTTTATATCTTGAAGATGGAGATATTTTGGAATCATTCTTAAAGGCAGGGCATTGTATTAAGAGTAGCAATTAGGGATGGGCCCACACAGAAACCAAGCATTTGAACACTTCTGAGCCATGAGGGTTTAAAAAGATCAAGATAAAATTCTGCGACCTAGGTCCTCTCCTAATATTCTCATAGGTTAGCATTTATATGCTGCTTTCCATTTTCAATTCTCAATGCAAACTTTTATTAAGTATTTATTATTTAACTACACACTTTCATTTGCAGAGGCAATATTTTTCTACTATACATGATAAGTAAATGTGTGATTAAGATGTCAGTATCAAACAGGGATTTTTTTTTAAAGAAGAATTGGAAACTTAATGAAGAAATAAACATTTTGTTTTATTATCTAAGTTTCATGCCCTGGGTTAAATAAATTCTCCATAAAATAAATTGTAATTGTAAAGCTCAGTAGAGAGATGTACAACTGAGAGAGTCCTGACAACTATGTATAAATCTGTCACACCTAAGAAACCTGAGTCAAGGAGAGTAAACACATTATTAAAGTGTGTACATGTATCACTTTTATGATATACTTTTCTTCTGATTACTTTTGCCTATAATTTAAGTAATGATCTTAATCTGAAAATACTTACTTTTAATTTCTATGCACTGAAGTTACAAAAATTCTTTTTGTAATAAATGTTGTTTCTTTTAATGTTCATTGTAATCCTATAATTTCACACTTTATTATTATTCTATACATTTATTGTTCTTATATATTTATTGTTCTTGTGGATATATTAGGTTACTCCACTGATATTATCCCTGTCTTTTATATTTAACCAAACTCCACTCATCTTTACTCAATAGTCTCAATATTGCACAGTGACAGAGCCTGCCTTGTATGTAAATTAAGTATTTTTTCAGACCTTTCCAGGTCAAATCATTTAGCTCATCTCCTCAGATACTGGATATTATTTAATGACATCTTATTAAATTATGCAAAGTTCTTTAGTCTTCCTATACTCTGATTTGAGCCAAGCGAATTTTGATGAAAGATATGTAAATGTCCATAACTTTGCATTGTTGCTCTTAGGGATATTTCATTGGGACCTATAGTTAGCTGTTAAGTGTTGAATTCCATTCAGTCTTCCATCTTGCTCCTTATAGAACACATTAATATAGTGCAAAATGAACCAACAGGTTTTTCTGTGTTGCTAGTTATATTTTTTCCCTGAAATGACTACTTACTAGCTTCATTCTGTAGAGCAGTTTCTTCTTTTTCAATTGTTATTAATAAACTTTCTGTAAGGTCTGTTCTTTTGCCTACAACTGCAAAACCATTCCAGACATACATCATTTCCTGCCAAAAAGAAACAAAACGCATGCATCAGTTTTATACGTGGATCAATTTCACTTAAGAATATAATCTGGATAGCTATACTGAACATTTTCTCAGCACATTAAAGGCACAGGTGCGCATGCGCACACACCCCAACCAACCCACCCGAAATACCAGGTAATGGGAGGAAACGGTAAAAAAAAAAAGCAAAAAGCACTGCAGAATGTGACCCTGCTTTCAGTCTCACTGCCTGACAAAAAGAGTACCAGTGAGGGTATGGGCCACACACAAACACTCTGCATGGATAAACAGATAAAAATAACAGTCTAGTCAACACTAGGAGTAGTCAGAATATTAGGGCGTGCCCAGATAGCACAGTAGCATCATAGATTTAGCTGTTAAAATCTCTTGGAAGTCTCTGCTTGTCATATGTGAACTTGAATTTTTTAACCAGATTTTTGTGGGGATGAAAGAAAGCACATCTGTGATTCAAAAGACAGGTTACAATTGGCATGTTTCAAGTTTCTGCTCCAAAGCATGCTGATGCTAATGCATCAGAACGATAAGGTTATTCTTGGAAACAACTGAACAGTTTTGTCAGAAACTTTCCAAAAAACAAAAATCAGCCTGAAGCAGATCTCCTTCATGGAAAATTTTGACCAAAACACCTAATGTGTTGTAAAAGGTGAAGTAGGTGAAACACAGGTCTTAGGAGAAGTGCTGAGCAACCCTGATAATAAACAATTACTATACCAGCCAATACTTGTCTACACAATATGCAAAATGTTACCTTTGCAGGAGATTTAACTAAGCAAAGAACATCAATAATACTGGGGGACATATTTTGTTAGGCTATCAAAAACAGGTTGTTGCCTAATAAGCAGTCAGGACACTGAAAACTGCCTTTATTTAAAAACCAAATGGCTGAATGGCAGCTTTTCCAAAATATAATTTAATGTTCATTAACTGCAAGATGTAACAAACAGGACAAAGTATTAGCATTTTCTGTTGATGAAGATAAATTGGATTTCCCCTGCAAACATTCTCCTATCCCTGTAGCCTACCTTCCAAATAACCTTAGTTGTTAATTGAACAGATCAAGCTGACATGTGAAAAAAGAAAATTACTGGATACTTTAATTTTATATTAACGGCATGAACGCCTGTTGGATGTACGATCTCCTTAGTGCTGTAATTTCCTATTGTTTGAGGAAGAATCGTAGTCCACATGCTGAGTCAGACCTTAAATAATGAGATTCCATGCAAAATTAAGATACTACTCATTGATTCAGCAAAGATTCAGCATTTGTCAACTAATATCATTTACCATGATATTAGTATCTTAAGGCAAGATCCTAATAATTTTCCCTGAGAAATTATCAGAGCTTTATATTTTGCATATGCAATCGTATGGAACAAGTTGTTGATATATATTGTTCTCATATACAGTTCAGAATTCAAGGAATATATATGCGACTGGAAGGGACCACAGGAGGTCAGCTGGTCCAACTCATGGCTCCAAGCAAGAACATCCCTGTCTAGGACATTCTAGCAACATGCTTGTCTTACCTAAAGATTTCCAAGGATGGAGATTCCACAACCCCTCTAGGTAACTTGTTGAAGTATTTAACCACCCTCAAAAGTAGAAAGTTCTTCCTAATATCCAACCTAAGCTTCCCGCATCACAATTTAAAACTGTTGTTTCTTGTCCTGCTCTCTGTGGAAGTGACATCCTCTTTCAAACCATTCAATGCTGATGTGAATCCCCCTTCAATCTTTGCTTCTCCTGACTAAATAACCCGTTTTTCCAACCTCTTTTTATACATCAAGTTTTCTAGACCTCTTGGCTAGGGACAGAAGTTGCACATAAACCGGTTTAAGTGATCAGGAACCAATTTAAACCTGTAACATAACAGAAGTCCAGTGGCTGCATTTCCAGAATCAAAAATGAATGTCTGTTCACACTTGCTTCTCAGTTCAATCTATACAGTTTAGACTAACCTGCAAACATTGAATGGATTCAGCCTCGGGTTTTTTGACTCTCTGTACTTAGCCCTTACAAATCTGTGTTGCTCTCTGCTGGACTCTTTCCAATCTGTCTACATCTTTCTCGAAGTGAAGAACCCAAAACTGGATATAATACTTCAGGGTCAGAAGGCTGCTTTAGAAAAAAATTCGTTCCCAGACTACACATGCTATTACATCCCAGTGAGTTATTAGCTGTTTTGCCACTGCTGCACTGTTGACTTGTATTCAGTTTGCAATCCACTATAACCCCAGATCCTTTTCTGCAACATAGCAGCCTAGCCAGTCATTCCCCAATTATTGGTTGTGCATTAGACTCGTCCATCCTAAATTAGTTATCCTTAATTTATTTCTTCCAATTTGGTTAGTTTGCAACTACTAAACAAAAAAAATGAGTTAAATATTCTGGCTCTATTTAAGTTGACATTTTAAGAGCTAAATTCAGATTTGCCTAGTCAGCAGAATTAGCCAATGGACTCACTTTGGGTGCCTATACATGTGCAGGGGGAGGAGGGCATTTTAGTTAGAGTGGTTCCTGGAGAACCACTCTGATTACCAGGAACCACTCTAAATAAAATGCTGCAGTGTCACATATATTAAGCCCCTGCACATTCAGTAATGGCCGCAGAACGTTTTAACTAAAGCATCCCAACAGCCATTTTTAAACCAACAGGGACTTATATACATGACACTACAGCAATGCTAGAGTGTTCTAATTAGAACACATCAGAGCATGCGTATAGTACTGAATGGTGCCTATGGCCCCATATAAAACTTAAGCTTATCTCGCTAGTAGCAATCACTGACAGATTTTATTCCCTTATGTATTAGTGCAGACTGCAGTAAGTTAAGAATTTTTCCCCATATATGGCCATGTATGTGACGTTAGGACAAAGGTTATGAAGAGAGATTTGCCCACTGTAGTGTAGCTGAATAATAAATTATCCTAATTAGATAGTTAAGCTAACAGTAGACACTTGCAACCTACTAAATGATAGCAATGTAGCTAGAACTTACTGCGCTATACAAACTGTGGTATGCAAATATTGTTAACTTGGATCCTTATGGAACATTCTATCAATCATGCATACAATCTTCCACTTCAAACCACATATAAATTTAAAACTACTGAATTATTTTTCTTGAAACCTGCCTTTATTTACAAAATGTTTTACAGTTAAAATAAGCCGAGTTTTTCATCTTCAGTTGCTTCTGAGTTATCCAGGCAGAACATTTCTAAATTTAAAACATGTATGTATGCAGGAAGTTTTTTATGTCTGAATAAATAAAAAATATCAAGCGACTTTGATCTAACTTTAAGAAACATTTGCCTCTAATCCGAGGAAAAAACACTGAAAATAAAACTTGCAAAATTAAGAGCCAAATTTGGAAAGCCGTATTACAGTGCTTTCTAAGTATGCCATTATAAAAATACACGTAACATTCATCTTACTGACTGCAAATACTTTAGTCTGAAATAAATAGTGGAAACTTATGGTACAAGCTGTATAAGAGTTGCTCTTTTTATTATTGATAAATATATGCTAATTTTATCATACAAAGAAGAATGAAATAAGACAACTGTAAATACCAGGGCAGGTAGTATAAGCTTCACTGGCTGAGAACTTGCATAGCGACGTGATTTCCTTACTGCAAACTTTTCTGTTGGAATAGATTTTCCTGCAATTCTTTGCCTTAGGCCTTCTATTTGTCTGTAAATGGAAAAAAAGATATCATCAAGTTATAAATATTTAATATTTTCTGTGCATTAAATATAAAACTCTTCTTTGACATAAAATTATTTCTTTTCCCATGATCCCTTGTTTTCTGTGCTGCGAAAGAGTACAGGTTTCCCTCAATTTATGCTGTATATGTGTTCCTGGAGAACAGCGCATAAATCAAATTCACATAAAGTGAACCCACTTTACACTGTAACAAATAGGGACAGGTTCCCATGGCAGGGAAGGAGGGAGGGAGCGAGGCTGGGGCTAGGGAAGGGGCAGGGGGGTGGGGGAAGTGTTGCTCCCAGGGCGCACAAGGCAGCAAAGCTGAAGGAACAGAGCAGCACTCACCCCAGCCCCAGCTACAGCAGCCCCGGGAGTGGCCAGTGCTAGCTGCCTACAGCCGCTGGGCTGCACCGTGCTCCACCTGTACCCACTTAGCTCTGCTCCTGGGCTGCACCATGCCGTGGTGCAGGCAGCTGGTGTCAGATGCTCCCAGGGCCACTGCAGCCAGGGCTGGGGTGAGTGCTGTGCCCCATACCACCTGGGGCTCCGCTTGTCCACACTCAGTCCAGCCCATGCTGGAGCAGCCCCAGGAGCAGCTGACATCAGCTGCCTGCACCATGGCATGGTGTAGCCCAGGAGCTGGGGTGAGCCCAGGCACAAGGGGGGGACAGGCAGAGCACGGTGCAGCCCAGCACCTGCAGGCAGCTGGCTCTGGCCATTCCCAGAGCCACTGCAGCAGGGGCTGGGTTGAGTAGGGCCATGGCCCTTTCCCTTCCCTCCACAGACGTACCTGCTGGGGGGGGGCAGGCATCTATGCTGCTTGCATAAGAGCAAATTTACTTCGCATATAATGAATTATGGGTCTAAATATGCTCATCACATAAGAGTGAACTTGCATATAAAGAACCCACATAAATTGAGGGAAACCTGTATTTTCCATATAAATTGAGGGAAACCTGTATTTTCCATCTGCAGTGAAAATGAAAATCCTCTCAGCTGAAAACAACACCTAAAATGTCTAAAAACAAATCTATAAAACAAAACTAAATAATGCAGTGAATGAAAGTGCAAAAATGAAAGAAGTCACTGCACTTCACCTTTAATTGATGCTTCCTCCTGTAACTCTAACATTAAGTGATAAAACTGAATACAGACCTGATGCTTAGTTTAACAACACTGAACTTGTAGCTCAGTGATTCTCAACCATAGTGCCATGGCACTCTGGGGTACCTTGATATCCTTATAAGGGTGCCAGTGTTAGAACTGTTAAGAGTACAAACTTGATTTACGAGATGAACCCATATATTTCAACTAGGAATCCATTGTGCTGAAAATATTCTGACCTGTTGTGGTCTTTCTGAGTTCACTGCAACAGAAGAATTGTTCTATTATTTTTCTATAGTCAAAAAAAGGAGTGAAAATTGACAGCTGGCATTTTCCATGGGGTGCCTTGAATCTAACAGGTACGAGAACCACTGCTCTTGCTGCTGGTTAAGTATTTGCTCTCAATTAAGTAGGACTCTTTGCCATTTGCTATAATTGAGGCCTCTGACAGATGTCCAGATTAAAGTGCAACGAGATCTAAGCCACAATTCCAACAACTGTGCTCCTGTCATGCACGAGCAATTTGGGGTTTGCGGCTTAGATCCCTATCATGCCTCCCTATCCCTATTACTTGCCAGTGCAGGTTCGGGAGCCCAGGCTCCCCTTACACTATCGAGCTGAAACCTGAATGTGTGAGCAGGTTACTACTTAAGGCATAATTAACCTGTTAATCATATCTTAAATGTAGTGTGTCAGAGGTCTGAGATAAATCAGTTTTTCCAAAGGCATTCCAGTTAAGCAGATTTCTCAAATATGTTTCCTAATGTACAAATATACTAGTACTGTGTTTCAGGCTTATGCATCTGGTCCACCAGGTTTTCAATATTAATAGTGACATTGGGTAAACTGAATATGACACTAAGTTTTGCCATTACAAACATGAATAAAATGTACTGAGGTGGTGATTTTTTAAAACAACTAATCATATTTGTATGCCGTTTTTCCATTAATAAAACAAATATTTTAAAATTTAATTCAAACACTTTGTATATCATGGTAGAATAAATATTAGTTTCATGTAATTATTATCAGGAAAAAATAGGGTTTGGAAAAATGCAAACACAAATTACAATTTGGAGCAATTGCAAAAACTATAAGAGATAATGTGCCTTGCCTGGTATGGTCTTAACTTTGTAAACTGGTAGAATTGCTCTAAAAAGTGAGGAACGAACCATTACTATCAGTAACTTATTCTTAGCCCATGTATAATTGTTCTTTTTTGACAACAAAAAACCAAGATAAGCTAAGCCCATGTGCAGGCATGTAGGGAAATTTACCATCCAAAATGGAAGTGTCACCTGAACTTAGGCACCTCAAAGTTTTGTGGGCTGTACAACAGGGTCAAATTGGAGGATTCACTGGAATTTATACACCTATATTCCATTTTAATCCTGTGAAGCATTGCTGAGATCAAACTGAATGTGACCTGAGATGATCAAAACCAAACTGATTATCTTAAGACAGTGTAAGTGGTGAGAAAGGGGAGAATTTTCATGATAATAAAGTATTGGTGACAGGAGTTAGCAAGAAAATAAATGAGGAGAGAGAAGAGCTTTGAATCCAAGAAGCAAAATGCACACCTAGCTGTTTCATTCTAGTTTAACTAAAAATGTAAAAATTTACCTGAACAAAGATACAATGTTCTCCCCAGTTTTCTTCACATCATCATCAGGAAGCATACACAAAATTGCAGCTTTCTGGAACACATATATTGCCTACCCCAAAAAAAGCAATATATTAACATACAGTTTGTTATATCAAGTCAGAACACACTGTTAAAGTATGGCATCCTTATTCCAGCGGTAGACACACCCACTGATTACGAGGCAGGTGAACCACTAAAATTTAGCTCAATGCTTCCTTTGTTATTGTGATTTATGCTATATTTCATATTCATTACATTTATACGGTATTGACATTTAGCTGAATCTGCCAGTTTTTAAGAGCGTTTTCCCTTCAGAAAGTGTAGATTCATTAATAATGCAAACCCATAAGCCAAACTGAGAGGCTGGAGTAGCTACAGAAATTAGTTTGTATCAAAATTTAGAAATGTTATGATTCAAGGATTTTTTCAGACCCATCTCTATACATAATATTACAAATACTTCTACTGGTAGTTTGTTTTTTAAGAAGGTATTCACTAGAAAGTGCAGTAATTAACATTTATAGTGAAAATTGTGGAAATGTTTAAGTCTCTTGAGTCACAGTTACAGGTTACCTTTAAATCATTTAAAATCTTGGAATATTATGCCATCATAATATGGAGCCAGGCACCAGATCCTGCTCTGGGAAGGTAAATGAGCCAGGGCTGCCTATGTGTTTGGTCTGCTGAGTGTTTGGTGGGCTGTGTGTTTGGGCATGTGCTCTGAGCAGCTGGGAGTGCTCCCAGCTGAGTGGTTGTATCCTGTGTCTAACAAAAGCCCTAACAAGGGGGTGGAGCCAGTCCAGGTCCAGGAGAGTATAAAAGGTCCCAAAGCGACCAGGGGGCAAGTGAACAGGGACAGTAAGCAGGGCAGTTTGCAAGTAGTTCCCAAATCAGTTTGCAGATGTTTGCTGCTCCGATGCCTCTACCCTTTGAAGGTGAGCCTTTAAGGTAAGTTTCTTCTTTAATTAAGAGTAACTAATCTATACATATTTAGTGTAGGTAGCTAAAACTCAGCAGTTACACCAATGCTTGTCTCGTGTTTAAGTAGAGCCCAGAGCAAGGGGCAGTTGAAGGGAGTTCACTAGGGAGTTTGCCTGGAAACTCTCTCTCACCTTCCTTCACTGCAAGCTTGGTGAGAGGAAGCAAAGAAATGGGAACCTTTTAGGGCCAAGGAGCAGCAAACAGGCCAGCTTACAGGGGAATTCTCTTCGGAAGGTTTGCTTGGAAGGAGGGACAGGAAAAGAGAGGCAAAGCATTAAGAGACCTAAAGAAATGGCTGGAGGACATCACAATGCCAGAGCCACTGCCAACTCATCCTCTGCTTGTACCTGTCTGTCTAGGCAGCATTGCTCACCATGGGTGCATCCACACATGCAGGCATGTGCACTTGCAGCAGCTCAAATAGAAGTAATGCAAATTTGAGCCAGGGCTTTTTGCCCCAGCACACGTGCCCAGACATGCACTTTGGTGTGGGGCAAATTGTGCCACTTGGGGCAAAATAACCCTGCCTGGCTTCTTCTAGATCTGCAGCCAGGGGGGAGGTGGAGCCCAGGGTCAGCACTTGTGCTGACCCTAGCAGTATAAAAAGCTACCCTGGCCAGCAGCTTTGGGCTACTTGCCCTCAGAAGCTTCTGAGGCCCGGCCACTTGGCATCTGGAGACACCAGCCCCCTGTGCCAGCTGGACTGCCAAAGCTGCCCTGACTTAGTGGCCCCTGAACCCTCTACCCACTACAGCAGTCTGGCAGTGAGGACTGCTGCCTGGCTGTGACCTGCTGCCATCTGCAACAGAATCTGCCTCCTTGGACCTGCGGCCCCATGGCTGCACACATACCAGACACAGACAGCGACAGAGACCACACAGCCACCTGGGCTCTAGTACAGGCCCTGCAGCAGAGCCACCTGAACCTCTGGGCCAGCTGCCAGCAGGCCGTGGCTGCACAGCAGCATCACTACATCCAGACAGCCCAGTCTGGAACCAGAGTCACCTGCCTAGCTCAGGGCTGTGAGGCCCTGCTGGGGAGGAGCATACCCATGCTGCCAGGCCCAGCTGCAGACTTCTGCCCCACTACTGCCAGGCTGGACCCAACAGAGGGAGCAGCTGACAATCATTCCCCGCATGTACTGCCACACCTGGGTCTGGGCTACCAGTAAACACTGGTGGGAGTGTATAGTCCTCCCCACCTGGGACAATGCACATTGGACACAGACCTTCCAGATGTCAAGAGGCATTCATGCACCTGGTAGCCCCTAACATTAAGCAGCAAGACACTGCGATGCATCCAGCCCTCACTCCAGAGAAACATGTGGCCATAGCCATCATGAGGCTGGTCACGCCTGCCAGCCTCAGGTATATAGCCCACTCCTTTGCGGGGGGGAAATCCACTGCTGGCCAGGCTGTTCTGGATGTATGTGGGCCCATCCAGGTCACCCTAGCTGATGAAGTCATCTGGCTGGCTAACCCTGGGGAGGTGGTGACAGGGTTTGGGGCCCTTGGGTTCCCCAACTGTGTTGGGGTGCTCGATGGGACCCACATCTCCATCCTCTGCCCCCCTGGGGGAGGGCGGCAGTACATTAAACGCCATGGCAGCAACTCACTGGTGCTTGAAGCAGTCATAGACCATCGTGACCGCTTCACCCACATTTACACCAGGTGGGCTGGGAGTGCCCACGATGTGCCACGCACCACTTCCAGGACTGATGCAGGCACAGGCCTATGCCCCAAAGATCCAAGACCTGACCATTGAGGAGGTCAGCATACCCCCAGCAATCATGGCAGATGAGAGACAGCCACATGCGTGCCCCTACCCCCTCCCCTCAACCCCTTCAAATGCCGGCATCAGGCAGCCCTGGGCCCTCACAGCGCTAGCTGCCTGCTGCTGCCAGAGTCCCCCAGTGGCTCCAGCCACCACCTGTGTTCACCTGCTGCACATGGTGCATGCTGGCAGTGCCCAGTTGTGCCACTGTAGGGTTGGGGGGGCAGGGGTTCTTGGGTGGATGTTGGGCGGCCCCCCACACTCCTGCCCTCACCACATAGAGCCCGAAGAGGGCCTGGCTGTGCCACATGTAGGGACGGGAGGGGGGTGGGGGAGGGGGTGTTCTTGGGTGTGTGTCCATGGCCCCCACATTCCCACCCCTGCTGCAAAGAGCTCCGCAGCTGCCTGTAAAAGGCAGCCACGGGACCGTCTGTGCGCTGCCTGACTGCTCCTAGCAGAGTTTCCCCGCTGCACGTGGCGCAGGGTACCAACCCGGCCCGATGCCACATGCCCCACCTCAGGCAGGACTGTGCCAGTTTTTGCCCAGGATGGGCATCAGGCTGGGTCAGCACCCTGCACCATGTGCAGCGGGGAAACAAGCAGCGGTGGGTGCTGCTGGCTGACTGATGGGAGCCGCTAGCCAGCGCACAGATGGTCATGCGGCTGCCTTTGCAGGCAGTTGTGGGGCTCTGTGCAGCGGGGGCAGGAGTGTGGGGGGGCCCCACACCACCCACCCAAGAACCTCCCCTCCCCAACCCTACAGTGGTGGAGCCAGGTCCTGCCAGCATGCACCATGTGCAAATATAAAACATGAGCGGCAGCAGGTGCCACCGAGCCCCTCTGCCAGAAGCAGCCATCCAGTGCACAGACGGTCCCACAGCTGCCTTTTGCAGGCAGCTGCAGGGCTTTGTGCAGTGGGGGCATAAGTGTGGGCCCCCTCCAACACCCACCTTGCTCGCTTTGCTCCCGGCAATGTTGCCCGGTGGCTTCCACTGCTACTTGTTTCCCCACTGCACATGGTGCAGAGTGCCAGCCAGGCCCGATGTCATGCGCCATTGCCTTGGGCAGGACTGGGATGGTTTTTACCACCACATGTGGCCCTGGGTGGCAGCAAGAACCGGTGCAGTCCTGTGCGAGGTGGGGTGTGTGGCATCGGGCTGGGTCGGCACCCTGTGCCACGTGTAGGACCACCACTCACAGTCCCACAGTTGTCTTTTGTAGGGACACCCACCCAACACCCACCCAAAAGCCCCCAGGCCCTGCACATGGCACAGCTTCCATCTCACACAGTCCCCCACCCTGAGGCCCACACAAGTCATCAGGCTGGGTGGGCTCCATGGTTTCTGCCTCTTATTTCTCCCCAGTTTGAAAGTGGCTCTTGCAGGCTGAGACTGGCAGCCTTGCAAAGAGTCCTTTGCAAACAGGGAAACCTGGGTTTCCCTTTTAGGGAGAAAGTTGCCATTCCCACCCTCCCCCTTCTTACCTTCATCTCCCATGGCTTCAGCCTCTACTCCTCCAGACTCTGGACCTTCTCTAGATGGTCCTTGTTACCTCCAACTAACTACCTAGAAGCAAGCTCTGAGCCTTGCCCCGCTTTTATTCTCGAGCACGCTCAAGAGACGTGATCAGTTGCCAGGGCAAGGGGGAGCCATAGAGACGCTCTGGCCTAATACCAGAGTGTTTCTCTGGAGGACTCCTTCTCCCGGTTGCCTCTGAGCATGGTCTTGGACTGTGCCTTGCCCTGCTGTTTCCCAGTGTGGCTTTTTTTGACCCCTGGATATCCAGGGGTCTCATTTTTCCCCTGCACTGCAAACTTGCAGCACGGGGAACATTTTCTCATTCCCGCACGTGTCTCTTGCAGCGTCTCAAAGGGATTTGAGATGCTGTAAGATGCACATGTGCGCTTATGTGGATGCGCCCCATGGAGGCTTTCACCCACATTCTGTTTTGGCACTGTGGAGACTGTGGCTTGCAGGTTCCTTCCAGTGACAGCTAAGTGGGGGGAGTGTTTGCAACGTAAGCGGTGCCTCCTGGTGATGTCCCTCAGGGATCAAGCAAGAGAGCCATAGGTGGAGGCAGCAAGGCTCCAAAGCATCCTCTGCTATGACGACTTCATCGATTTGATGCTGAAGGAGACCTCTAGAACTGCTAAGGAAGGCCTGCCAGAGGCAACACTAGAAAAGGAAGATGACAATGACTCCTAAGGAAGGTGGAAGTTGGAAGCTTGTGACCTCTGGCAGCAAGCAGAAGTCTTCATTTCCACCTGCAGCAATTTGCCTTAAGAACAGCTATCTGTTCCCTAGCAACAAAGAAGGAGAATGCTCCACTGGCAGAAAAGGCCAAGCCAGGCATTCCCAAGGCTGGGAGGATCAAAACCACTGCCACCAAGAGGAAGCAATGGGTGGTGATGGTTGGAGACTCCCTTCTGCAGGGGAGAAAGGCATCCATCTGCCAGCCTAACCTGTTGTCTTGAAAAGTCTGCTCCTTTCTTGCAGCCCAGATCCAAGATGTCACAGAGGGATTACCAAGACTCATCCTGCAAGACTACTCCATGCTGCGCATTCATGTGGGCACCAATGGCTACCTATAAATGTTCTTGTTCGTGTTTTAATTCCACACCTCTATTTGAAATTTTTTAGGGATCTGCAAATTTAAAAAATGTTAACAAACACTGGTATTAACTGTTCAGGAAGGACAGGCAGGGGAGAAAAGGAGGAGGAGTTGCTCTTTACATAAAAGAGCTGTATGATTGCTCAGAATTTCAGTGTGAAACTGGTGATAGGCCTGTTGAAAGTCTCTGGGTTAGGGTTAAAAGGAAAAGCAACAAAGGTAATATGGTGAGTGTCTGCTACAAACCATGAAACCAGAAGGATGAAGTAGATGAGGCATTCTTCAAACAGCTAGGGGACATTTTCTGATCACAAGCCCGAGGTCTCATGGCAGACCACAATCACCCTGATACCCTCTGAGAGAGCAATACAGAAGTGCACAGGTAATCCAGAAAGCTTTTGGAGAGTGCTGGGGACAACGTTCTAGTGCAAATACTGGAGGGGCCAACTAGGGCCTGTGCTTTTCTTGACTTGCTGCTCACAAACAAGGAATAATTGGTGGTGAATGTAGAAGTGGAATCACCATCCATAGTCCTTACTCTGCAGATCTCCTTCCTTCCTTTCCTCAGGATCCTCAATTCAATCATCTCGTGGTATGCCATCCACATCAACTCGGGAGAACGTGCTGGCATCCTTCCCATAAGATCAACAATGTCCAGAGTCATCGTGACTGGCCCCGAGCACCAGTGGATTGGCCTGCGTGTGTATGTATGAATGGTTTTAGATAAAGCATTGCTTTTCCCCCCTTGATCTACGTGTGTGACTCAATAAAGACCTTGGTTGCCAAACCTGTGCATTGGTCTTTTGACCAACACAATAAGGAGAAGTGCACTTAGGACAGAACAATCCAATGAACCACTACAGGCTGGGGACCGGCTGGCTAAACAGCAGCTTCGCAGAAAAGGACCATGGGCTTACAGTGGACAAGAAGCTGAAAATAAGCCAACAGTATGCCCTTGTTGCAAAGAAGGCTAACAGCATACTGGGCTGCATTAGCAGGAGCATTGCCAACAGATCAAGGGAAGTGATTAATCCCCTCTATTTAGCACTGGTGAAGCAACAACTGGAGTACTGTGTCCAGTTTTGGGCCCCCCAAAGGATGTGGACAAATTGGAAAAAGTCCAGAGGAGGGCAATGAAAATGGTTAAGAGGCTGGGGCTCATGGCTTATGAGAGGCTGAGGGAACTGGACTTATTTAGTCTGGAGAAGAGAAGACTGAGTGGGGATTTGATAGCAACCTTTAACTACCTGAAGGGTGGTTCTAAAGAGGATGGATCTAGACTGCTCTCAGTGGTGACAGATGACAGAACAAGGAGCAACAGGCTCGGGAAGTAGGCAAAACAGAATAGGATGCAGTTTAACAAAGATAAGTGCCATGTGTTGCACCTGGGGAGGAAGAGTCATCAACACAACTTTACCTTGAGAGGTACCATTCTAAGCAGCACAACTGTGGAAAGGGATCTCGGAGTCATAGTTGACTCCAAAATGAACATGAGTCGCCACTGTGATGAAGTAATAAGTAAAGCTAATCGCACTCTCTCTCGCATAAGTAGGTGCACCACAAACAGGTCTAGGGAGGTGATACTTCCCCTCTATGAGGCACTGGTCAGGCCACAGCTGGAGTACTGCATCAAGTTTTGGGTGCCGCACTTCAAGAGAGTTGTAGATAAGGGCTCAGAGGAGGGTCATGCTTCTAGTTAAAGGCCTACAGGAAAAACCCTATGAGGACCAATTGAGGGACCTGAATCTCTTCATCCTCCACAAGAGAAGGCTGAGAGGTGATCTTGTGGCCATATACAAACTCACTGGGAGGGGCAGCAGGAAATAAGGGATACAGTGTTTACCAGGGCACCCATTGTAACCAGAAACAATGGTCACAAATTGAAAGAGAGTATATTTAGACTGGACATCAGGAAAAAATTCTTTACAGTGAGGGTTGCCAAAATATGGAATACGCTTACAAGGGAGGTGCTGCTGTCCCCTTCCTTGGACGCATTTAAGAGGAGATTGGACAAACACCTGGCTGGGGTCATCTGACCCTAGCCCTCTTTCCTGCCCAGGGCAGGGGGGGCCGGCCTTGATGATCTAATAGGTTCCTTCTACCCCTAAAATCTATGAAATCTATGACTATTTATTCTCATGTTACTTTTGTTTAAAATTTAATGTGTAAAACTTTTAAAATTAGAGTTTATTTAAATTTTGTTCTTACACATGCAATTAAGATTAGATTAGATTGATTTAATCTTCTGCTCAACTTCTATTTCAGACTGGAAGACACGAACTCACAATTCTTAGGGCATGGAAATTCTGGAACTTACTGTCAATTTAGAATTTTTCTTTCCAAATTTAAAGTAAAATCTCAGATGTAGAGTTAAACTTAGTTCCCTGGTTTAAAGATTTTACAGAAAATACAAATTAGATCCATTATAAAAACTGAAATGTGGACTTAACTAGAGAGAGGCTATTAGCATGGCATAAGCATGTCCACCTGCCCATTTACCTTAGACCACCTGCTCTCTTTGCAGAGCAGGTCTGCATACCGATATGCTTGAAGCCAGTTCTGCTGGAATGTGTAGCACCACATCAACTCCCAGTAACAGAGGTGATGGATCTGTTTCCACTCTTGTTGGGCTGCAATGCATTCTTGGAGTGTTAACTGTGCCTACAATTTAATTCAGCCAAAAATAATGGTGGGGAGTAAAGCGGGGAAGAGAGAGAGAATACTTTAATCAGTTACAGTACAACATAACTATTAGGGGTGCTCCGATTTTAGGGGCCAATACCAATAATTGATTTTTAAGGAGGCATATTGGCCAAAACCAATCAGATTTCCGATATGCAGCCCTGCAACTGAAGAGCTGCATCCAGCTGGTAAGTCTGTTGGGGGGTGGGGCATGGGGGGGATACAGATTAAGGCCCCTGTGGTGAGGGAGGAGTGGGGCTGGGGCAGGTGCTGCCCAGCTGGGATGGGGATGGGCCCAGAACAGAGGTGCAGCTCATTCAGGGGAGCAGTTCCCACTCCTGTGCACACCCCAGGAGGGCACGGCGAGGGGGCATGTGCCCCCGGATTTGCGTGAGGTGGGGAAGGCTGCAGGTGTGGGCTGAGGCCAGGGCTGCGCAGGGCTCTTCCCAGTGTGGGATAGGCCGAGCTGCAACCAGACCGGCTGGTGGTGGTGGTGCTGGGAGGGGTGGTGCTGAGTTACAGGGGGGGCTGCAGCCACCCCAAAATTCGCCATAGCCCCCCCATAGCTTCCCATCCCAGTGCCACCGCTGCCCGCCCCAAGCTCAGCCCTGGCCCAACTGCCTGCCCCTAACACGCCAGGAAGAGCCCCATGCAGCCCCGAGCCCACAACTGCAGTCCACCCCACCCCACCCCACCCACACTCAATGGGTGCTGAGTTACAGGGGGGGCTGCAGCCACCCCAAAATTCGCCATAGCCCCCCCATAGCTTCCCATCCCAGTGCCACCGCTGCCCGCCCCAAGCTCAGCCCTGGCCCAACTGCCTGCCCCTAACACGCCAGGAAGAGCCCCATGCAGCCCCGAGCCCACAACTGCAGTCCACCCCACCCCACCCCACCCACACTCAATGCAGATCCAGGGGCACCCCTCCCATGCCCTGCCAGGGTGCATGTAGCGGCGGGAGCAGCCCCTGTCCCATGCCCCCAGATGAGCTGCAGCCCCATTCTGCGCCCCACCCCACCCCGGTAGCACCTGCCCCAGCCTCTACTCCACTCCCTCCCTCACTGCGGGGGCCTTGATCTGCGGCCCCACACCCCTTCCCCCCTCCCCTTCCACCACAACAGACTTACCAGCTGCATGCAGCTTTCCACACTGCTGGGCTGTGCTCCTTGCCGTCTATGGCCATTTATCGGCCAAATTTATCAGCCACTTATCGTCACGCTGATTTCTGATACAGTCAATTTTCTTTATATCAGTGCCAATCCAATATCAGACCAATGTATTGGTGCACCTCTAATAACTATTGTAAATTAAGGAGCCAAATCTTCTCCCCAGCATCTGACACAAACAGATAGGTTAACTGCTGACCTCCCAGACTATTACATATTTCCTCTTTAGAGGATGAAGTCATTTTTCCACAAACCCGAAAGGGGAGAAGACCAGAAATCAGAGTCCAAATGAAGTCAGTGGAACTACCTAAGTGACATATACAAGTGAAGTCTATGCTGAAATCTAATACTGTGCACAATCAATAACTATAATATTAATAAAAACCACAAAAAGTAAATACCTTTTCAAAATTTCCTTGCAGTATAGATATTCTGGCAGCATAGAATAAAATAATGGAACCCTTGAGAGGAAAAGAAAAGAAAGTAAAGAAGCAGCCATTCTTTTATTCAGAATCTTTGGTAAACTATATTGAGTACTCACATTTGGAAACTTCTGGAGGTAGGGTTCAAGTAGAGTCTCTGCTTCCTCAAGATTGGCTTCTCCTATACCTATAATCATAATAAGACTACTTCTAACTCACTAGAACAGCACAGATTTTTAAAAAGTAATTTCCAAGTTATATCACAGATTGAGTAGAACATCAGAGAACAGTCTTGTTTTACCTATGCCATGGAAAAATGTATTTTACTCTATTAAGTTTCAGTAAAAACAAAATCCCATTTTAGGTCTTTAGGATGCTAAACATCCAAGAGAGAAATAAAACAGAGCATATAAGCAACCTTAATATGAAATTCTTAATTATATATTTTAAACAAACAAAAAGCCTTCCTTAATCTTGTCAGGTAGTTTGGAAAACTATTTTAATGCCTTTTGCTTCCTAATTTTGAGCTTTAGCAGATAATATTGAGAAGAAAATAAGTCTTCCTAAATTTCTTGGCTTCTAAATCCTGATAAGCCAAGAAGGGTGAGTATAATATTTGCAAAGAGATGCAAGCATATCTTAAAAACATATGTAGTCCTAAAGCCACCAGTACATTCAAGTGGCCTGACCAACTTTACACGTATCTGAACTTTCATCATCACAGGCATTCCAGACCTTTCAGCAACAGTAGTATCTCAAACCTCTTTGGCTCTACCTTTTAGTTCATTGGTTAACTTGGAATGCCCTAGTCATTTTCTTGATTTTTTTCTGGACAGTTATAAGATCAAAGGCACACCCCAAGGTTGAGGGGAGAGAATCATTCTGAGTTTCTTCCTCTCCATCTTTGTCTGATCTTTCCTGGTCCAGGGAAAATTTACGCACAGACTAAAGTGTGTGCATGAATGCATACATATCTTCTGAAAGAGGAAAGTACGTAAGTGAATGTTTAAGAGTATATATTCATTTGGCTCATTACTTTCACTCTTCTTAGCATTACATTAAGAACTGGGGCTTCTTCACACTTAAAAATAGGGTTTGCTGGTACAGATATAATAGAAGAGATATAACAGAAACCTCTTCTATTGGAAATTCAGTTTATATCAGCAAGAGTTCTTTTTGTATAGTTTAAAACAACCCAAGTGTGTCTACACAAGGGTTTTGCTGGCATAAATAAATTGCTTACTGGTATGATTTTATGAGTGATGTCACCAGCTGTGTCTATTAAAGTACAGGCCAAGTTCAGTACCAAGTTCTTACCAAGGATGAAGCAGACAAAAGTGTGATATACCAGCAAGGTGAAAGTACACAGGATGGCTCTCAAACTTGTACCGGAAGCACCTTCCCGTAGCTGGAGGAGGCCTATATCCTAAATAAATCAGAAATGTTTAGTTATCTACTACAGCATACTGGACATGTAATGTAAGTAATAAGATTAATATCAAGTGCCAACAATTTTTTCATTTTTCACTTTTAGAAAAACTCAATTCCTCCTGGTCAAAATCCAGAGGGTCCTGCTTCTCCTAGACAGAGTTCTGAGCTCCAGGAAGGAGCAATGATATCACTCAGTGGAAGTATTCACCTCTTTAAATGGATGAATACATTTAAGACCATGGGTGGAATGCAAACAGAGTACTCAACAGCTTGCAGATCAAGTTTCAGAGATCTGTGTGCCTTCTCACCACTATCCCTTGGCAGGGAACTTCCCTCAGTGTTCTTTGTGGCACCAATACCAAGGGAACAATGCACACATATACAATCAAGAATCCAACAACCCTATAAATTCCACACATCTATCCACAGCCACTGACCTTCCAGACATGTTCACCTTTATCAACATAACTCTCAGGCAGAAATTCTAATTTCTCGACCATTTGCAATGATTTTTACACAGATCTCCTACCACTCCAATCTTCTTTTAGCCACCAGAAAATATTTTTGCAGGCTAGTATTAAATATCTGTTTTCACTGATGCCTTGTTTCTAGACCCTATTGCAGCAGCTCTCTTAGTGTCTACACAGGCAGAAGAGAGGAATGATGGTTCACAGAGACCCCTTCCTGCATAGTGATGCAGGAAGCTCATACATATAGGAGCTCATATACGTTCATAATATATGAAGCCTGTTTAACTCTCAGATTCTGTGGACCCTGATCGTACAGTTGGAGCAGCTGCTCTGTGCCCAAGCCATGCAGCTTGAAGTTTTCCTTTGGATTAACCAGGTTAGCTCAGATCTTCTTATACAAGTAAAGGCTCTTAGAATTTGGGCACATATGTGAAATGGGAGATCTGTGCACTCACAACTCCTGCCTCCTAGGGTAGAGCAAGTAGTATATGAAAGCATATGAAGCTTGACTCCATCCCTAGCAACTGGCATGGAGGATGCATTTATTTGCTGCTGTTATAAGCTAAAGGAGAGTTACAATTCTCTCTACAGCAAGGGGGAGCTGGGAGCTTGTTCTGAGGTGCCATGCTTCTCTTAGCTGCTCCTGTGAGGGGTGTAGTTCAGTGTTTTTCAACCCATGAGTCACAACCCAAAAGTGAGTCATAAGAATATTTGAAAGGGTTGCAAACAGTGACAGAAAAATGAAGGAAAGCACGGGTTTCCCCTTGCAGACTGGCAGCCCTCCAGCCTCCAAGGAGCTGCCTGGGGCTGGGGAGGAGTTGGAGGAGGGTGATTGGAGGCAGGGACGCCACATGTGCAAACGCACATGGCTGGTACACACTGCCAGGTAGGGCAGTGGGAGCAGTCCCAAGAGCTGGATGCAGGTTAAGTCCATGGGGGACAGAGGTTGGAGGCCCAGGGCTTGGGGACTATTCGGGTGTGGGGGGGCAGGGAAGGGCACAGGCAGGGGGAATGAGTGAGGGAGGGGGGGCAGGTGCCTGCTGGCACTAAAGGAAGGTGTCCAGGTGCTGGGGCTCCAGCAGCACAGGAGAGCAGGGAAAGGGGTTGGGGGGGCCCTTTGGGGACAGTGGTAAGCTTCTTGGCCTGGCTTGGCAGCATCAGTGCCCATGCTTGCAGGGGTGGGGCAGCTGGGAGATGCTGCCCAGGGGAAGGGGCATCGCCAGGCTGCCTGGCACTGCACAGGAGTCCCCAACCCAAGGCATGGAGTGCCGCAGGCCTTCCCACCTCCTCCCTCCAGACCACACCAGGGCCAGACTCGCTCCGCCACTGGCGCAGTCGCCAGAGCCAGTGCAGCCACTGCACTCTGGTCCAGCACAGCAGGGGCACCTGGGGGCCCCCTCCAGCAGGACTACAGGGAAGACAAAGGGCACAAGTCGGGAGGAAGGGGCACAGGCAGGGCCAGGGTGCTGCAAGTCGGGAGTCTGTAATAAATATTTGGGGGCCAAAATACTTGCGTGTTTTCTACTTAAACTATTTACTGGGTTGGAACTGGCCACCGATGTTTACAAATGGGTCCTAATACAAAAAAGGTTGAGAACCAGTGGTGTAGCTTATGACCCACAATTTACTCTGCGTGTGTTTAAAGTAGTCTAGTCAGTATTTCATAAAGATATATAAATAAAAATGAAAGCAAAACAAGCAAACAAATGAAGCAGAACAAGCAAACAAACAAAGTTGGCTTAAATAGAAGATACCTTTCACTTTACAAAAATTATACTGAATCCTTTTGCACCCTAATAGAGAAAACCCTAAAATTTAAAAAAATAAATCTATACCCTGTTGCCAGAAAAGCCAATAAATTCTAGAAGCCGGAGAATCCTTCCTGGTAAAAGGGACAGCAACTGTAATAAACAGCAACAAAAATAAAGTGTTTAATCAGACATGCAAACCTTGTATGTAATTCTCAAATGCAAACAGGTTCTAAAAAACTGCTATATGACCATAAACGTGAATTATGGTACCAAATACCATTTTTAACTGGCATGAAAAGGAAATATCAAATTCAAAATATAAATATACTATTTTAAAGATATCAAAATTGATATGAACGATCAATTATTGTACAACCACTCCATGCACATGGCAAAACTGCTCAATCAATTGGTTTTTCAGCCTGAGAACAATGTGATCTTACTCCCATCATGCTCTAAAAATGTCTCCTTATCTCAAGCTTACTAACAACATTAACAAATTGTACATTATTGGAAGTTAAGGCATAATATTTTAATAAGTACAATGCTCACATTATTATTCATACTGTGACAGCATGTAAATAGTCTTTCTGTAAGAAAACCGTTTTAGCATTCCTGATCAGATGTTTAAATCTATTGTCTTGGAAAGCTTTCTTCTTCATTTCTGTTTTGAAAGCATCGGAGTACTTGTTAAGCAATTATGTTACACAGGATTTGTTCACTGGGTTCTTCCATCACTTATCCTATTTACTTCAGACTATACTGCCAACTTGTCAAGATTATTCTGAATTCTAATCCTGCCCTCCAAAGGGCCTGCAATGCTTTCTGACAATATCTGTATGGTAAACAGTGTAAAACTGAAGTCTAACAAATATTTTTTTCAGTAAAAATACCAAGGACAGTCAGGTTGAAGGTCACTGCTGAAGAGGATCTGTTCAGTTTATACTCATTTGATCTAGAATAGATCTTTTTCCTTCACATTTACTGTTGATAATAGTGCCAGTGTATATGGCCAGTCACCAGTGCCTTGTGTCTTAAAGGATAGTCCTGCTTTAAGTAGGTTGACAACACTCTTAAAGTGTAACCAGTGTACAACAGCACCCTTGCTGTCCTATCCATGAGAGGTAATTTAATGACACAATGCATAAAATAAACTCGTAATGTTAGACAACTGTGGCTCTTGGTAGCCATTACATTAATGGCATGATTAATGAGTTAATCATGCCATGAAATTGTAACATGCCACACATGCAACCAATTTATGGTGTGATAAAATTACAAACCAGTCACAAAGACATTCCACATTAAACATGGAACCTCTTCATGGCTGGTTTTTATCATATATTAGTTTGAATGTGTGGCATGTTAAACCCAAGTGGTGCAGCCCAACTTCACAGGGCTCCCCCGACCTGGAAAGTTTCAAGCCAAGTGGTACGGCCCCAAGCTGGGCTGAAGCACTCAACTTCACAGGTGCAAAGTAGGTGGAGCTGATGGGTTTTCTCCACCCAAGTTTAAATCCACTTGCAGTTTAGCCCTGCACAAGCTAACCCGAAATTGGGTTTAGAGGTGTTGGACATGGGGTGCTTTATAGGTTAAACTCCCTGGGCGGGCAGAGTCCAAGGTGCCGGGTTCCTCACACCTGCATAGCACCTCTCCACCCATGCACAAGGGCAGCCCTTGCAGGGTGTGTGGGTATAAACTTGCTGATAGGCATGGAGCTCAAAATCAGGATCCCAAGCTCCACACCCATCAGAAAATTGACAGGGTGGTTACAGGAAGCACAGCAGTAGGGACCAGTACCCCATGCTAACCCCCCTGCACCAGCAGTCACACACCTGGGATCTATCCCTGATACAGGTCCTGCTATGCACAGGTGATCTGGGATCAAATCCATTAAATTAACATTTGCTAGAGACCTGAGTGTGTGTCTCACAAACTGCTGTTTCTCTATCTTGCATGTGATTAACCTTGTCAGTTTATAGAAAAATCAACCAATCATTGCAGCAAAAAAATGACATACACACAAAACAGGTTTGTTTGTGGAACAATAGACAAAATAAAATATTCTATTCTAGTCTAGTTTACGAAGCAGATGCCATGATGCATTGTTTTTAATTTGTTAGAAACTACAATATTTCTTTTAAAACATCCTCAGCACATGATGCAAATACAAGTGTTTGCTATTAGGCTGAACATGGTTTTTAGAATATGTTAAAAAATTGCAAATAGTAGGCATATAAGAAGTTGGCATATACTGTTCCCATATAGAATAAATGATCCACAGGGTCACCACATGAGCCTGAAATATCCACCACACTGCACTACAGGCGTGTCTTGAAGTGATGGCACTATAAACCAACCTTTCATTTGAGCAAAGAAGAAAGCCTAATACAGAGTAACATGTACATATGAATATCAGTATATATGACACTATTGCTGCCTGCAGACATGGAAAATAAGCGGTGCTTTACTTAAACCTCAAGCACTCCCACACCAAGCCCAGCACGTGCCCAGAAAAGGCAGTGTGTTAGTTGCACCAGGCTCACCCAATGTCCATATACATCAGGCCCTTTAGTGGGGCTTTTTTGGTACTTTTAACTAACAGCCGATTGTCTCAACTTGGGATAAAAGTGCCAAAAAACCCTGCTGAAGTGCCTGATCTATACAGATGCTACAGAGCCAAGTCAAAGTAGTGCACTGCTGCTTCTGGTAAAACATGTTTTCCCTCCCCCCAACATCCATCAGGGCCCTATCTTAATGGTTCTCTTACTGTATGAAAACTAATATCGTACCAGATTAAACGCTCCTATCCCAAGCTTTACTCCTCCTTCAAACTGGTGGTAAGTTTCATTTTTGCTTTTGTTGCCCTGAGTCATCTGTAGCACTTGAAGACATTCTCTTATTTTAGGGGAAAAAAAGAAAAGAAAACATGATAGAGGTGATAAAAATTAAGTAATACAATTGCCAATATATTTCTTCAAAGAGTTAATGGAATTATTCCTCTATATTGCAGGTCTGAACCTGACTACGTGTTTTATAAGAACTTACTTGTATATTTGGTAACTTGTCCTAATTTTGAGGCCACCCTTGATAAAGTTGATCATATTTTCATCCTGTAAGAAACGCGTTTTATTGTGCAGAAATGTGCAGATTTGTTTCCTTTGCAGTTGCATATAAAATGCTTATAAGAAAAATTCTTTTAGCTACACATTTTCTTACCATTAATCTTTATTAAATGTTACTTATTTATGATACATAAAATCACTTTTATAGTTATAAACTTTACTCTCAGGTAATATTATACAGAAATCAGAATACAGTATCAGGGTGGCCAACTTGTGGCATGGGTGCCACAAGGGCATGAGCAGCTTCACGCTGTGCATCACATGGCAGAATGCAGAGGGCACAGGAAGCCTATGGGCTCCTATAGACATGCAGTGAGGCTGCTCCAATGTGCTGTAAATAGAGTCTGCTGGAGCATGGGAATTAACGTGCTCTAGCAGCCTCCAGCGTCACGTGTATCAGCGTCCCATGCTGAAAAATGGCAGCAGGGTGCTTTAAACTAAAACTTGTTTGATGAGCTTTAGTTCAAAACATCCCACTGTCATTTTTCAACGTGGGGATATTGATACACGTGACGCTTGGGCACTTTTAATTAGCAGAGCTTGCTAATTAAAGTGCCCCGCCTCCCCAGCCTCCTGGACCATGTCTATAAATGCCCTATGTGTGCACTGGTAGATAGTGCAGGGAGCAGAAAACAGAGCATTAGATCAGGCAGGAAGCTCAGGGCAGGAAACAGAGAGCAGAGCAGCAGCTTGGTCAGGGAGCATAAAGCTGAGAAGCAAATCAGGTATGGGACAGGGATCTTAGTGGGACTTGGGGAAGTAAATGGTTAAATTGCGACACCCCTGCCAAAAAAGTTCGGCCCCCCACTGCAGTATATGATAAAATGACAGAGAAACAGTTCTCTGCATGTTTTGAATGACACTTTAAATACAGATTATTAAAAAATAGCCAAAAAAATAGAACAAAGAGAAGAAAGACATCAGCATTTAAGAGAGAAATAACAAAAATCTCCATCAGATGGTGGTAGAAGAGCATTTTTAGAGAAAGTTTCCAAATTGTGCCTTGGAAAATGTAGAGGTGTCTTGAAAGAAAACCCCCAAACATCTTCTATTCAGTTGAATTTAAAGTGCTGCTCAATAGCAACTCCAGTTTATCTTGGATTGCAGTAAGGGAGCTAACAGCACATACCTGCCAATTGTATATATGAAAATATCATCTAACAATGTTCTGTGCACATTATATATTCACATAATGTAAGTATACCAGGTATTTATTTTTCATTCTATCATGGAAGAATTTATGTTACACAGACTTAACATTTGAATTCATTTAACTGATACTTCAGAGTCTTCTTCCAGTAAAAACCAATTGTGTGTTGCAGGGTGTATGTTTGATTTGATCTCTTTATTTAATTACAGGCATTTGCCACCAAGCCTGTTATCAAGATTCCCTGACACTTCAAAGTACAAGGCCATTTTCCAGTTGCTTATAAATTTTCAAACTAAGCATTTTGGCTCAATATTTCCAGGAAGTGTCCATTTGTTAGGCTGATTTGAGGGGGGAGTGGGGGGATGCAGTATTTCGGATGAAATTATTCAGCCGCTCCGGAGAACAAAATAATTGTAAAGTATTTTGTTTTTCAATGTTAAAAAATTCTGGTAACCTTTGTTTTAGTGTTCTCATGCTTTGGAGCAGGGACTTGAAACTTGGCAGCAGGTCACAGATGTACTGTTTTGCATCTCCATGATAAGCCATTGAAAACATGGCATTGTGGGGCAAGCACAATGAGACAGGGAGCCTAAGAATGGCAGAGATCTGGATTATCTGGGCAAGGAAAATAGGTTTGGGAGTCAAATATGGGAGATGGGGAATAATGGGCGATAAGAGAACTGAAACTAAATGAGGATTTTGGAGAGGGCTGGGTAATCGGGAAAAGGAACTCTTAATCAGTCAGGATGGGAAGCTTGGGCATGATGAACAAGTTCTGGAAGCTTGTGGGGAATGGCAAGGAAAGGAGAAGAGAATTGGTATTGGCTGGACAAAGACTGGGAGTGAGTGGAAGGAGAGAGACCATAGGAGTGGGACAAAGATTTCTAGGCAAGAAACTGGGATCAAAAGCTGATCTCAATCTCTTCCCTAGACTAGGTAAAGAAAATAGAACTATGGGAAGGAGTCAGTGGTGGGTACAAAAAAAAGCCTGAAAAAGTTGGGACAGGTCTGAAGAGATCATACCTAGGGGAGACTGAGCAAAAAAAGGGGACCATGTCTACTGAAGCACTCATTCTTCCAGAGCCTGAAACTGAACACAAGAACCCAGAGTTTCACCACCCCACTCCTGTCTACAAATATCTGTGAAATGTACAGTGGGTACTTTAGAACTTATTTTTTTCTGTGCCTGAGTTCGCCTGCAATACCCGTTCTTCCCACAGAGGTGTTTTAAAGAAGTAAATGCACTAGTGTTTTAAAGCAATCAATACTGATGTGATCAGCAACACAGACACACCTATCAGAAAATTAATAATTCTGTTTAAAAAGGGTTTGAATAATAGGTGGTAAATAAGTGAATGGGGTTTATTCAGCAACAATGAAACTAAATAATGAAAAGCTGCTTGTTAAGTGAGTACTGTCTATTCTGTGCATTAAAAGTCACAGAACCTATGAAAACAATTGTACATGATCATATAATTAAAGACTATCAGAATACATGCATGTCAGGGGGCTGAAATAAGGTCTAGAGTGATTTTGGTTCCGGGATAACTTGGAGTGCTAGAATTTGCAACATTAGTAATGTTAATATAGCTTTTTATATAGATCTAATATATTTTTTTCAAGTCTTAATCCCACAGAGTTGAGTATGCTTTACTTTGTGTATGAGTAGTCCCACTGGAAGCTATTAAAGAAAGCTGTGATAGGAAAAAAGTGACATTTTAACATTAATCCCTCTATGTGGAGGGTGTGGCCATTTCGACTAGTATAATTTTCAGTGAAAAACTAAGCTGGGAGTTTTTCAATGGCTCAAACTAAATTATTTAACCAAGTTAATTAAAACTCACTACTGGATGATGAACTACTTCTGAAATAGCAGTTGGGATTTAGGGGAAGGCATGGGCCCAAATTACTGTGGGTAAGAATCCCTCCTTCCCATAGATACATAACAAAATAATAAAGAGAAGGTATTTACAACCTCTAACTTATTATGTGTTAATTGTGTTACGTTTCATCATGAAAATTGTGGCATTAGAAACTACTGACCCATGCTCAAACAGTAATATACCACTTCCAGGCCTGCTTTAGGCAAGCTTACTTTCAAAACTCTCATTTGGTAAACACAACTGAGCACAACACCCCGGTGCCTCACCATAACTCGAAAGTGAATAAAAACAACTCCTCTTGAACAAGTAATGCATTACTATAGGGTTGAGGGCATCATTTAAAGTCTATATGGACAGTGACTTTCAATGGAAGAACAAGAAGGATGGCTGCCAAAGAAGTCAGCATGAAATGAAATCCTGCATTTTCTACCAAATTCTACCCGTATACAGCCAAATTCACCCATATACAGCAATGTACTGCTTGACACCTGTGTTCTATATTTCTCTCACTTAAGTAGTACTGGCCAGTATAAGAAGTGGTATGCAGAGCTAAATGAATCATTGTTATGAAACTGTATAGCATAACAGACCCTTGGACAAAGATTAAAAGTTTAATTTTTTTAAGTATGTTTAGATAGAAAATGTGAGTATCACAATATAGCATAGCATAAATGGCATTTTCAGTCAGCTTCTACAAAATAAACATTGTAAAAAAAAATTCTGTTTTCAAACATTACAGTTTTGGGGGAAATAATGTCCTAATTTGATTACTAATATTTTACGCTAAATTGCATATTCACACAGATTTGAAATGAACAGCTGATATTACCTGTACAAATGTAAGTGCTGCTTTCTGCAATAAACATTCAGCATAACAGATTTCAGCATGCATTTCCTCTACAAAAAAGATCAAACAAAAGAAGTCTCAAATTATTAATTGCTAACATAATGTTTATTGGTTCACATTCAAATACGGTACTTGGCAATCAATGGGATAACAATATGTTGCCAGCAAAATCTAACTAGATTTTTATCATTCTTGTTTTGATAACTGTCAAGCCATATATGAAACAAACAAAAAAAATCCAGTCAAGGACACTAGTTAAGAAGTTATCTAAAAATAGTCTTCCATGTCACTTTTCTGCAGCCAAAAGCCTCAATCAGGCTTCAATTCAGGGCACATTACTGAGGCAACACTTGTCACTTTGGTAGACAATCTATTAATGAGTAAAGATAAAGTAAATATGTTCATTCTCAACCTACACCACTAGCTCATCAAACACTCCTGCCACTAAGAGCTGGTACCAGTGAACAGGAATGTTCTAAAATGGCTCAGGGCCTGCTCATGTAAACTTGTCATATAGACATCTATATATATTTATATACATCTTTCTCTATATATCTATATACATCTATAAGGTCCAAATCTACCCTGCCTTCTACTTGACTTCAGACTAACACAACTACCTATGTCTCTAAACTGAAAAAGCCATTATAGCCCATTTTTCTTCTAATCATCAAGGCTCTCAACATGCTGGATCTGCAAGGGTCAATCCTTTTTTTCCATCTGACCGATGAGACTCAGGGAGTTAATTAGAAACATCAGCAGCACTCCGGTTACATGCAGCACTGTCTCTACTTCAGTTCAAATAACACCTCCATGGCCTGGCTTCCATTCTGCCTACATGAGAGCAGCTGACTGAAGCTGAATCAAAACAAGACTGAAGTGATGCTGATAGAAAGACAGAAGTACTTTGAACTCAGTGCCACAGCTCTGCTCTCCTTGAAAAGATGTCTGTCCTTATTCAGCCACCCTCTTAGACTTCACACGGCACTCAGAACACACAAATATGCATAATGGAAAGAAAAAAAATACCAATTCTATCTGTGGCTGGCTAAAACATTTAACCCAGAGGTGCTCAGTGCCCAGCCCACAGAGTCTTTCATCTGGCCTGCAGAGCTCCCAAAGGACCAGAAATTTGGCAGCAGAGGAACAGTCGTAGCATTAATTGCTGTCAAATTTTCAGACACTTGGGGAGCCTTCAGGCCGGGTACTGCAGCCCTGCATGATAGATCACACCAGCACGCAGCTGGATTGGGACAGCAGGTGGTGCATGGTGCAGCACCAGGCCCACAAACTGACTCACTCATCCAGGCCCTGGGCCCAAAAGGTTGGGTGCCACAGTTTTAGCCGAGGTTCTACCAGGTCTAGATACACTGTTGTACCTTATTTACCTGCATACCACGTATCTTTTTCCCAACAAATCAGCCCTCCCCAGCCTACTGTCTTAAGTAGGCAAGTCATTTTCTGCCCAGAACAGAACTCCACTTTGAATCCTCTCACAGCAGCACTGGTATTTGCATTTAGGCACCCAAGAGAGGCATTTGACTTAATGGGCCATTGTTCTTCACTCCTCAGGTGTTAATCCTTTTTAACAGTCTTGATGTTCCACTAATCAAGCTAACTTCTTCTGGCAATTTTGCTGTCTTTTAGTTACTCCCAGTTTCTCTCCTTTATTTCACAGCCTTGCAAAATGTTTTTAACTCTTCAAAATCATAGAGGCACTCTTGGAGACCAGTCTTCAGCAACAGCTCAGGTTTGGTTAAGCAGAAAAGGGAGGATAACACAGCTGAAGATAAGACTCTGTTGCTGCTTTATAGTCATTAACCCAGAAAAAAAATCTTCATTCTGCTTTCTCAAAAACAAGGTGCATGCCTTTATTTGGGGCATGTGGCTTGTGAGAAAATATGGGGTGCCTTTGAAAACTACAGACTTAGGGCTAGAGTCCATTTCCCTTTCACATGCCTAAATGGCACTTACGTAGCCACATAGTTGCTGTTTTGAAGACTTATGCTCAGTTTGAGATTCACTGTAGCTACACTGTCCCTATACTTTGCTTCTGTCTCTGCTCAGTACACTACACTCTAACTGAGTACTGTAGTTAGGAGGGCAGGGAGTGAAGACAAATGGTGTCAGAAAGAGAAAAGCAACCAGAGGGATGACAATGTCCTGAAAGAAAGGGGGACTTAGGCCCTGATCCTAATAAGGAAGGAACTATGCCAATGCTGTTTATTTTTATTCAGTGCATATTAAATGGAAGGAGCAAGGAGCCAGTTTTAAGGGGAAGGCTGCAGAGAAGTCAGGAATACCCAGCCCATGGACTAGTGATCAGAACACTTTCATAGGAAGCATTTCAAATGCTCTCTGGATGAAGGGTGCCTAAAACCCAAGTCTTCTGCTCCCTGAGCAAGTACACTATAACCACTGCATATTTGGAATAAAAACTAAGAGATTCCTCCCCTTCTTACTCTACTTCCAACAGGTACACATGCAGGGTGATTCTACAGTGCCAAAGGAAACAGAATTCCAAAGTGCCAAAAACTGGTGTTACATTGCGTAAGTGCCACTTAGGTGTGTGAAAGGGAAATAGGCTTTAGCCCTTAACTTCTACAGTTCTGTATGTCCAGGAGTGAAGCTAAATGGTCCATAAAAAGTTCTAGCAAGTTATGAAGACAGTACCCCTGGAGGAAAACTCTGAGCTGGTGAAGCCGTGTCTAATTTAGGTATGTACACTTAGCAATACAGGCAATTGCTGCAGACAATGACCCTACTATTTTAGTACTGGACTTACTTAGGCAAGTCCCTTGAGCCACATGTATTTCAGTTTTCAGAAACAGGTCATGCTAAGAATTAGTATGAAATGACCATGCTCATTTGCTTTTGTAATGTCTGTCAGCAATAATTTGAACTCAGTTATCCTATTATGAAAAGATGGCATATCAAATCACTACACTAATGCCCTAGAGGGGGAAAAAAGTGAGCATGAGTTAAAAAACATCAATAATAACTTTCCTCTTTCTAAAGCAGGGGTGGGCAAAATATGGAATTTGAAGCCAATCTATCTGGCCCGCAGGGCCCCTAAAAAATTTAGAAAATTAATATTGATCTGTCCTTGGTTCCTGTCAAAAAAGACAGGAACCAGGGGCAGTAGGACCTGGGGGAAACCCGGTGGGCTCTTGCAACAGCAGGGTCCACCCAGCCCCACCCCACCAACCTGAAGGCCCAGCAGGGGCTTCTGGCCTGGGACCACATGGCTGCACCGTGCCAGAACCTCAGGTATGTGGGGGGTGAAGGGGGGGAGAGAGAAGGGCAGGGGAGGACCCCGGGCAGAGAAGGAGCCTGGGAAAAAGCTAAGTCTGGGGAAAAGCAGCCCCTCACCCACCCCGTGGCCCTCATTCCCTGCTGCAGCCGCTCGCAGCCCGCGTGGGGCTGTCCTGAGCAGGCACAGGCAGCCCCACTTGGGCTGCGAGTGGCTGCAGTGCAGGGCACCAACCACAGGGCGGGTTAGGGGCCATTTTTCCCCCTGCCCTCACCACCAGCTTGTAACCCAGCCCCCGCTGCCAGCCTGGGCCCCACGCCAGCTCCAGACTTGCCCATGGGGCTGCGCATGGCGGCAGCAGCTGCGGCCCCCTGGCTTGCCGTGCCAGGCAGTTTGCTGCTGCTGCTGCCCACCCAGAGCTTGCACACTGGGCAGCCCAGAGCCGGCGGTGACTAGGTTCAGTCCAGCTGGCAGCCAGGAGTATGATAACAGCTTGGATGCCATCTGGGAGGTATGGGCCACAGTGCCATGGCTAGCACCCCTGGCATCAAGGCATAGAATGGGCAGCCTCCCGCATTTACCACCAGTTTATTGTAATAGCAAAGTTGTGGAAGAAGAGACTGGGCAGACTGCCCTGTGGACAGGGTAGTGGGTTGGCTTGAGACCTGACCTCGAGCATGCACCTGTAACAGAGAGGTAATGTACTGAATTACTCTAGAGCAAGTATGTCCTATTTCCTATAACTACAAAACAACAAATCCACTTGCCACCATTCCCAATTTTTTTAAATTAAAATTTGTATGGTCAAAAACTATAAAAAACTTCTCCAAATACTGAAACTGCACAATGCTCAGACTATTTCTTAAAATCAGACTCATTGTTTTAAAATAACATTCCTTGTAAACGCTGTGCATTTATCAACACACACAAATTCCTCCTCTTAAAATAACTTCTGAAAATAGCTGCCATTGAACTCTCTCCAGTATTTGGAGGGAGAGGAAAAACTACCTAAATTAAAAGAGGTATGTGAACTTGTCTGTTATGTGAGAAGTCTTCCTATACTGGTATAACTTTTTCAGAAATCCTTTTTCCTACATATTTTCAGAAAATACCTTTTATTTCTCTTACCTTCACTCAGCTGATCCACTGACTGTTTAGAAACCAGATTGGACAAAGACTCTACCACTGTGCTTCTTTTTCTGAATCTAAATCAGCCACAATGGAAAAAAGAAACCCACAAGGGATAAACAAATTTAAATAGGCATTTATATTAACCTAATGCATTATGACAATTAACTCCTCCTCCCTCCAAAAGTTAGACAAATGTATAGCCATTCCAAAGAAAAAAGGTACAGCTCTGAGTAGTTTACCAATATATACCCCCACTCTTGGTATGTACCTTAATTCAGAAATCTATAAACCTTAATCCAGTCCCCTATTGTGTTATAGATTATGATACAATTTTTAAGTACGTGATCACACAATTTTTTCCCCTTTGCACAACCTTTCTGTAGTCACTGTACAATATGAACTATAGTCTGAGAATGAATCAGGGATGTGAGAGAAGGTGGTTTCTATAAAACCCTCTTCCTCATTTTTGCAGGAATTAGAAAGCTTGTTGCAACTGATGCAGGGAATTGTACAAAGGGAAAGGATGGTCTAATAGCTAAGGTTGTGTAACGCTCCCCTGGAGAACCATATTCTACCCCTGCCTTTAACACTGAGTTCTCTTGTGATTCTAGAGATGTCACTTAATCAGACTGCTCAAGCCCGGTCACTAAGGCTAGGGACAGTCATTACACATAAACCAGCTCAAGTGATCAGAAAATGGTTTAAACCTGAGAACAGGCATTCAGTGTACATAAACCTGTTTGAAAATGGCTGAAACCAGTTTGAGGTAAATCTGGTTGAAGGTAGTATCAGACTTAACTGATTTGGGTCAAACTGGTTGATGTAATGTCTGTCCTAGACCCCTTCCTGGTTTAAGTTAAATCAGAATCCCCCAGCATCCCAGCATGCTCTCTGAGCTAGGTAGGGCTCTCTGCTCCTGAGAGCTGGGCTGGCCCCTCCTCTCTGCTCCCTTGCTGGAGCTCCGGCAGAGACTTCCAGGCACAGCAAGATCTGTCTGGCTTCTCCTGACACACCCTCCCCTCGCTGCTCAAGCAAGGATCCCTTCCTCTTCTCTCTGACATCACGGACCATAGCCAGCATGTGGTATGCTAGCTAATGCTGAGAGGTGTCTGTGTAAGGCAAACAGAACCATGTCCGCTTAGCACTTTTTGGAGCTATTCAACAGGTAGTTGGTAATGTCCCTCCTTGGTATGTTCCCTTCCTTGGAAAAAGTTGTTTAAGAGCTTGAGCTAATGAGAGGCTTCATTTTCTGATGGGGTCATAAATGCTGATAACAGAGCTAATAAGTGCGCTGTTATCAAAGGAGGAAATTCCTCTCTAATCAGGGTCCGGCAGAGGCCTGGCCATGCCCCCCTCAGCTTAGTACCATAGAAGAGAAGGGAGGGCTGCTCTAGTGCCCCCTGGCTTCTGGCCTGAGACACTGCAGGCATGTGCCTGAATTTACTCAGTCCAGAGGGGATGTCTGTATGGTTACAAACTGGTTTAGCCTAGCCAGGTTAGAATAACCTGCAAAGATTGAATCAGTTCTGGCTCAGGCTTTTTGAGTATCTGTCCCTAGCCTAAGGAAAGAATCCTATTTCACTTTACCCACCCAAACGACACTTACCCAACTGCTATTTTTGGCACTTAACGCACAGTTTGCAATCTTATTCTGCATGCTGGGTGAACACATAAGCATCCACACAGCTATTGAACATACTCCATAAGCTTCACTCCAACTGGGCATGTACATAAGGACAAATCCCGAGTGATTGCGAGCCATAAATTATAGCCAAGCAGAAACGTAATGCTTGCAGTAGTGGACACGAGAGAAAGAGGATTTTTTTTTTTCCAAATAGGTAGTGCTTATAGGCTACTTGCTCAGGAAGCAGAAGACTTGGGTTCTAGGCCCCTTCATCCAGAGAGCATTTGAAGACGTCTCTCCTGCTTCTTAGGAAAGGCTTCTAACTGCTAGTCCATGGGCTGGGAATTTCTAAGACTTCTTCACAGCCTTCCCCTTGAAGCTGGCTCATTGTTCCTTCAATTTAATATTCATGAATAAAAATAAATAGCATTGGGATACAGTTACTTCCTCATTAGGATCAGGGCCTAAAGTCCCCCTGTCTTTTAGGACATTGTCATCACAGGCTTTAGGCAAGTAGCTTAGTGGTGAAACCACTCACCCAGGAAGTGAGCAAACAGGTTCTAAGCTGCGAAGAGCAGGAGATATATGGAGCAAGCTAGATTGTGGGTCTCCAGATGGTTGCTGCTTTAAATGGGAGGGGACCTGAGGTGCTAGCAGACACTTCCCCTCAGTTCTTGATACATTTTAACCAATGAATATCAAATGCAAGGTGCAGTCACTAGACTACTAGAAAAATGAGTAAAGAGGGGATTGTATAATGCCTAACCTATGACTTTGCGTTAAAGCACTGTACTGGGAGGTGCCTACAGCTTGGGCCACTTCTTGGCTACTCATAAGCTCTTTGGCTAAAACATGGTCATTATGTGATCACTACTAGGGGTGTGAGAAACGGGCTGTATTCAATTCGGATTTGGTCCAAATCGGGGATAGTAATTCGATTCGTTGATTCGGATCACAGTTCCAATTTGATCTGACCAAATCTGAAGATTCAATGCTGATTAAGAGAATCAGTGATTTGGCCATAGACACAGCTTTAAATGTTTTTTCTACATACCTCAAGGTACCAGGCACGGCTCGTGAACGCTACAATGGCTCAGCTCGGCGATCAGCTGCGGGGAGACCCTGGGACCTCAGACCCAGAAAGCACTAGTCACTAAACCAGGGGGGCCCTGGGGGGCACCCCAGTGCACTCCCCGGCAGACCCGGAAGGACTTCTGGTTCACTTCTGGGTCTGCTGCCGAGCGCGCTGGAGACCCCACTGTGTTCCTGTGGGACACTCCATCTGCCCCAGCATCTCAGCATTCACGAGCCACCTGGTACCTTAAGGTATGTGGAAAAAACATTTTAAGCTGTGTCTACGTCCAAATCGTTGAATCTTTCTGAACCTCTCCAAATTGATTCAGAGGGTTCCGATTCGATTCAGAGAGATTAAAGGGTCTCCTGATTAGATTCAGAGATTCAGCCATCAAATTGGACCGAATAAAATCAGCGACAGAAACTTCGCACTACCTATTTTGTGCACTAAAGTGAGGCAGATGCTGCAGAGTGTAAGATTGTGTAATTAAAAGATTATAATACATTGTTTTGTTTTGTTTTTAACTGAAGTGCAAGCCAAATATTTACATTTCAATACTGTCAAAAAGCTTAGATCTAGGTTTGAGAGAAGATTTTGATGAGTTATTTTCCAAAATATTTGACCCATTTTTGAAAGTGACCATACAGAAGAACAATGCTACAATGATAACATGGAAAACAATGAGTACCAGTTCTTTAAAAAGTTAGAAGCCACAGGCTGTATAAGAACATATGCTCAAACTGCACACACAAATACTATAACTGCATGTAGAAATTGGCTCTTTCCATATCAACATGGCTACCCAGATATTTAACCAGTGTCTGAGTTCACAAATACCTGAGCATGAGTGGGTATTTGACTTCTGCCATAATACAAATAATGTATAGTAATATTAATAAGAATAATTGCCTAATATGCTCTACCCAATTTAAGGGTATGCTCCCATGCTCACTCCATACTGGAGCCGTAGTCAGTATATTCCATTTAGATGTCTCGCATGTAATTTTCTTAGGCTTACCTTTGGCAGGTTTGTAAAGCTTCCTTCATTGTAGAAATTCCCAGTTGGATATCCTGTTGTTCAAAGGTCATAGCAGCTTGCATAACTAATATTGTGCCATAGCCAAGAGCATGGTACATACTGTCTTTAGACCTGGGAGAAATATACAAATCTCACAGATTACAGTTAAACTAATACACTGGAAAGATAATCCCTATTCTATAGTAACAAAGTACAATAATAAAATTAAGGTACAGATTCTACAGGACATTTTAGAGGTCACAGATGTAAAATTTCCTTGCTTGAGATTTTAGGTGGACTTCCAGCCCTCAAGTAATCAGTTCTCTCTCTCTTCTTTGCTATGACAAAATCTGTGGCAATTTAAATTCTGTCATAATTCACAAACTGGGAATATGAAAGTCATTTGCACTAATTCAGGATTCCCTTATCAAATGGGTAAAAAAAATAGTGGAAAGTAGCAGGAAAATAACCTGAGAATGTATTATGGCAGATGATGAGGAGTAGAAGGGCAAGTGATTTATTTTTTATTCTCTCATTATATATTTTTGTGCCACAATGCTCCTCTCTGACATATTTTTAAGTAAACAATCTTCCATGTTTCTACGTAATACGATCTTTTGTACTCAATGCCAAAAGTATGTTAGGGCACTTACCATTTATACCTGACATCACTTCAACTTGTATGCTACCTGTAACTCCTACTAAATTTAGTCAATTAGATCTTGATAACATTTTTTTCTTTCTACCTTTATTTGAAAAAGAGGAGGGGAAAGCTAAATAACTTTACTAGCTGAGCCAATTTCCATGGAATGATAGGCAAATGATTTGTATATGTCACACAAAAGTCACTGCACATAAGCTGCAATCACTTATCAAAGACTAAATTTGCTAGTATCTTACTTTAAAAGTAATTTTTAAAAATGAAGGTACCAAGAGAGAGAGAATCTGGCCCTAAATTTTTATTTCTTGGATATATCAAATAACTGAATTTATTTTTAAAATATGCATATTTGTTCATTATTTACAGAGTCACTTTTTAGGAAAAAGTTTTCAGAAATATATAAAAAAACCCAGGCCTAGGAAAGCATTCAGTCAACATACATTCATGATACACCTTGAATATATCCATAGCCCTGAAGTGCATGATCACCTAAGGGCTTCTAAAGTATTAACTTTTTTCTTCATAATATGCATGATGAACTGAAACAGTAGTTTTTATACAAAAGCTACTGCCCTTTTATTCTTCTGGCATAGCAAGAATAAGTGTTATATATTTTCATTAACAAACATAAAACATCCTTAACTTTATTAACAGAGCTGCTGCTGTTTCTCACCATATTCAGAAAACCTCTTGAAAACCAAGAGATACAGAGTTCAGAACCATGCCATAATGTTTGTTTCATATAGCATCACTTTGCCTTGTAGATGGTGCATGTTATTCAGGGAACAAAGCTAAATAAACAGTGTACTGCTGAGCCTTAAGCACATCTCTTGGCTGATGTAAAACTGTACTGACTAGGACAGGGGCAGACAATTATTTTGGGAGGAGGGCTGCTTACTGAGTTTGGCAAGCCATCGAGGGCCATATGACAGGCAGCCATGAGCAAATAAAGATTAATTTTCTAAATTTTTGTGGGGCCCCGTGGGCTGGATAGAATGGCCTGGCAGGCCACATCTGGCCCACAGGCCGCATTTTGCCTGCCCCTGGGCTAGGAGCTAGCTCCATCTCTGTAGTCAGGCACTGAACATACTCCACAAAAACAACTAAATACTTGGTAAATTCTACAGCCATATCACTCTCCTTTTACAATGCCCTTACACTTACCCTTCAGTAATGTGCTTTTGCTTACCCAGCCTCAACTTCCTGGAGAATCTCCCTGCTGACAGTTCCCATAGCAGGAAGACCACTGTGCTGACAATTTATAGAATCCAGTGATGAAATGAGCTCAACTAGATCCCTCAACACAGGCTCTTCTTGAGTGCACAAATGGGTGAAGAGGCAACAAGTGGGGCTCAAATCCCACCCCAATGGACAGGGGCCCCCTGATTGCCTTATCCCATCACAGCTATGCTCAAACTACTCCCCTCAGCAATTCCATCCACAACAAATGCTTCTAGATTCCATGGAAATAATTCTCACTGGTAGATGCCAGCTTCAGGGAGGCAGGGTGTGAAGGACATAGAATTAAGGCTACATTGGCAAAGCCCTTAAAACACCATTTCCTGTTTTCAGGCATTTGAGTCTTGCTGGGCATTGCATCTGGAAGGGCAGGGATATAGTAGGCTCTGCATTAACAAAGTTCTTTCTCTGTGAATTTTCTAGACATTTGAGCAGAAAGAGGAGTTGGTCTTCACTTAGGCTATATACATATGTTCCATTTGTGCCAAGAGAAAAGCCTCTCCTGACACAAAAAGGAGAGCACACAGAAGATTGAGAACAGTCTTGTAATAGCTCTTGTGCAAAAAGTTAAATTGTTTGTCTAGAAGGAAGATCTTCCTTCTTATCTAACTTGAACACCTGTGCACTTCAAGAGAGAGAGAGAGAAAGAAAGAGAGTCAGTATCCCAGAGTCTTCTGCTCTCCCTCGGAGAGCAAACTGTCAGGCAACTCTATGGGGACCCTGCCCCAGCAAAGAGCCTCCACCAAATGCACTACTCCCATTCCACTGAAAGGCATGTGGGGAGTGGGAGACAATTCTCCTATGACTACAAAGCTAACCCAGGCTTGGGCAACCCTGCAGTCATGAATGAACCCTGCAGCCACAGATCTTCTCTCTTTGCTAGTGGAACCAAAGGCACGCACAGGAGCAGGAGTCAACTGTGCCACGTCATCAAGACTGCCTGGGCTCAGACAACCTTGCAGCCGCATGAGATTCCCGAAAACTGGGCTCACACAACTTTGTAGCCACATGAGATTCCTAAGGACTGGGCTCAGGGAAGCTGTCCCCAAGCCCAGTTCCTGGTCCCTGGGCTTTAAATGCAACCCCCACCACCCAGCAGGGTAGGGATTGCTAAGCCCTGAGGACTAGGACCTGTGATTGGGAAAGCTTTTCCCACCCCAGTTTGTGGCCCCATAGGCTTTAAATGATACATGTGCCACTCAGCTGGGTGACATGCATGACTATTAAAGACTGGGGAATCAGGACAAAGGGTCAGGAAAAATCTCCCCAGCACTACTTTTCTGAGCCTCTACCTTAAAATCACCCTGTGTGCATCCCATCTGGATGCCTATTGACAGCATGCCCCCTGGGTCCCAAGCAGAGGGCATCCCTAAGAGTGGGGGTGGCGCAGGAAGTAGCCCTCTAAGTTCTCCAGCCAGGGGGACCCATCTGGGTAGCTCTCCAGCCAGGGGGCGGGAACATATGTATATTCCAGCTCCTGGTCTAATTTTCTACCAATAAGAACTTCTGAGAAATTCTTACCAATAGAAATGCAAGTCTGTATGCAGCCTTAGGTAAGGGATGTCTGGCCCCCTGAGTTGGTTCTGGCCCATGGGGCTTCTCACAGGCCAGACAAGCCATCTTCGGCAGCAAGGCAGCAGCTTGTCAGTGAAGCTGCCAGAGCCATTGCATCGGTATGGTTCCAGAACCAAGCAGGTGAACACTGCAGTTTCTTGCCCACTCTCCTTTTCCCTTGCTGGTTTGAGTCACCAGTGGTGATCAAAGACCCCAAGTTCTCTGGCAAGCAAAGGTGAAAACAGCTGCAGTGTTCACCTCTCTGGGTTTTGCACAAGCAAGCCACAATGTAACCTCTCATGGTCTACATATGGTCCACAGACTGCCACCTGGACAGGTACCCTGACTTAGAGAGTTGTAATTATAGTTTTGCAGGAGAGGCAGAGGTTACTAGTTGGGAGGATTGTTTAAGAATCCCCCACCTCCTGTGCAGTTGGTTGCAGCACAATGGTGATAACGACTGTGATGTGAAATGTTTGGCGGGAGTGATGAGAGTGCAGAGAGAGACGTCTCAAACAAGTTCTACCCCTTGACAGTTGTACAGGTAGTCCTCAGACTTACAGCGCAACTGGTGCCTGAAAACCACGTCTTAAGTCAAAACGTTGCAACTTGGAACCAACTTTCTCATAAGAAACAATTTTATAAATGGAGGATTGGTTCCTGAACCAAGGCCCAATACTCTATTTTCACCAAAAATACCCCAGAATTTTGTACTCAATTATAGATAAGTAATATAGCTACATTAATGTATTTATATTGTAAATAGCAGCCATATTGATTTGGAAGGATTTTGAGGTGATTTTGCTGGACTTTTTGAAGGGCTCTCGGTTGGACTTTTTGAATGGTTCTCGGCTGGAGTCTTCTCAGGAGTCTTAGCTGCAGGTTTTACTGGATTCTTGTCTGCTTTCTTAAAGAAAGTGTCCAAAGAAGTTTGGACACACGTTCTCCAGGGAGATGAGCGATGCAGCAAACTTGTTCACTGGCATGGCGTCGCATTGGATCAAGCGTTGTAAAGTCAAAACTGACGTCAGAAAGCTGAAACAGGGTGTCAATTTATAAACGTTGCAAGTGCGAAACGTTGCAACTCGAAACGCTGTAAGTCAAGGACTGCCTGTATTCCATTTGTTTACAGTAACTTCAAGCCTGCAAGAAGAGACTGTCACCTGTGATCACTTATAACATATAACTCATCCAAAAGACTTCCAGCCAGTCCTCCTCTTCCTTTTCCTACAAACCATTGTCACTTTATAAATTATTAACACATAAAAAAAAAATTTCTTTGCTGTCCTGTGCCCTATGCTGCTATATACATCACAGCCATCAGCTTACCAACTTCCTTGGTTGTAAAATCCTAGATGTAAACAAAGCTGGGCTTTGCTTTTTCTGTTTGGCCTGATTCCTCCAGGCCTACAGCCTGCCTAATCTGCATTCCTCCATGCTGGCTCCTTTTAACACCCCCCACACCACCCGAGCTCCAGCCTGCTCCCCATCATTGCATAAGGAAGGACAGCATATACAGATGCTGACACATACATGGGGCAAGACAACCACTGCTAGAGGCAGGCTCCCTGGATGGTACTTGTATGGAAAGACAAACAATCATTCTAACCTACCATTGCAGCCTCTAAAGTGTCATTTCTTATATTTCAGGAAATACCTTCAGTCTCTTAAATTAGGCAGAAGGCAGGGCAAGGTAGCATTTTAGATTAGCTTGAGGAATTAGCAGGACAAAAAGAGTAAAGGTTTCTACAACTACATCAGCAATAAGAGGAAGATCAGGGAATGTGTGGATCCCTCACGAGGCAACCTAATGACAGACGATATAGAAAAAGCTGAAGTACTCAATGCCTTTTTTTACCTCAGTCTTCATAGGCAACCTCAGCTCCCAGACTATGGCATGTGGCAGCACAGTTTGGGAAGGAGATGAGCAGCCAACAGTGGCAAAAGAACAGGATAGGGACTATTTAAAAAAGCTGGACATGTACAAGTGTAAGAAGCAAAGCCAAAGGTGATGCACCCAAGAGTGCTGGCTGATGTAATAGCAGAGCTGCTGGGCATTATCTCTGAAAACTCACATGGATTGGGAGAGGTCCTAGATGATTGCAAAAGAGCAGACACAGTGCCCATCTTTATTAAAGGGAAGAAGGAGGATCCAGGAAGCTACAGACAGAGCAGCCTCACCCCAGTCCCTGGAAAAATCATGGAACAGGTCCTCAAGGAATCCATTTCCAAGCACTTGGAGGAGAAGGTCACTAGGAACAGTCACCGTGGATTCACCAAGGGCATATCTTTCCTGACCAACCTGATCTTAGCAAGGCTTTTGATAAGGTCTCCCACAACACTGTCAAGCACACTAGGGAAGGATGGGTTGGATGAATGAACTATAAGGTGGACAGAAAACTGGCTGAGTCATTGGGCTCAAAAGGTAGTAATTAATGGTGTGATGTCTAGCTGCAGCCCATAACAAGTGGAGCACCCCAGGGATTGGTCCTGGGGCCAATTTTGTCCAATATCTTCATCAATAAGCTGGAAGATGGGATGGATTGCACCCTCAGCAAGTTTGCAGATGACACCAAGCTGTGGGGAGTGTGCGGGCCGGGAGCGGTCCGAGGCCCTTAGGGGTGCGCGGCGGGCTGTGGCCAGCAGCCCTGGCACGCGGGTCGGGGAATGCAGGCCGGCGGACTAGAATTAGGCACGGACGCGTAGTGGTTGATTATTTTACTTACACCGTAGATGGTCACGGTGCAGGCAGGAAAACTTGCTTGAGTTGCAGTTACAGACAGGAAAGAAGAAAAGCGGACAAGAGTTCCTTCCACGCAAACTCTAGCCCAATCCGGTTGAAGGCTCTAAAACCGCAAGCCCGTCGTGTCAACCGAAGAAAACAACTTGGAGAAGAGCTCTGGATACACTCACACGAAGTTTGCTAGGCTCCATGGAACTTGCGTGCAGGGAAGGGGTTCGTCGAGGGATCGTTCGGCGACGGGGAGAGGCCAGAGGTTGATCAAACCCCTATAGCCTTCTTAAGGCACGCGCTGGGTTCGATAGGCTCCACAGCGCTTAGAGTTCTTCACAAGACATGAAGCCCTCCTCCTCCAGATGGCTGTGGAGTCCTCCCTTGCGGGGTTCTCCTCGGAGTTCTCCAACTTGGGCGGAAACCGCTCAAGCCTCTTATACGGCTAGCAAGCCAAATCACTAGCCGCCACATGGGAATAATTTAGAACTGGCCAACAGTGGGACACAAATTTGCATGCGGGTGGTGGGAACTCCTTTGCACCGTGCATTTCTCTTTGCAACTAAGAAATGCACCCTGCAAAGAAAGCTCCTCGTGGCGGGAAATAATTTAGCAGTGCGAAGCGCACACAAACAAAATCACACCCTTGGGTTGTGACAGGGAATAGTAGATACACTGGAGGGTAGAGCAAGGATTCAGAGAGACCGCAACAAATGGAGGATCGAACCAAAGAAGTCTCATGAGGTTCAATAAGGAAAAGTGCAAAGTCCTGCACTTGGGACAGAACAATTTCATGCACTGGTACATTCTGGGGAATTACTAGCTAGGCAGCAGCTCTACAGAAAAGGACTTATGGGTTACAGTGAACAATAAGTTGAATATGAGCCAATAGTATGCCCTTGTTGCAAAGAAGATTAATGGCATACTCGATGGCATTAGTTGGAGAGTTGCTAGCAGATCAAGGGAAATGATTATTCCCCTATATTCAGCACCGGTGAGGCCGCATCTGGAGTACTGTGTCCAGTTTTAGGCCCCCCACTACAAAAAGGATGTGGACAAACTGGAGAGGGAGTCCAGCAACAGAGGGCAATGAAAATGGTTAGAGGGCTGGGGCACTTGACTTCTGAGGAGAGGCTGAGGGAACAAGGCTTATTTAGTCTGGAGAAGAGAGACTGATTAATAGCACCTTCAACTACCTGAAGTGGGGTTCCAAAGAGCATGGAGCTGGACTGTTCTCAGTGGTGGCAGATGACAGAACAAGGAGCAACAGTCTCAAGTTGCAGCAAAGGAAGTTTAGGTTGAATATTAGGAAAAACTCTCTCACTAGGAGAGAGCACTGAACACTGTAAAGCACTGAACAGATTACCCAGAGAGGTTGTGAAATTTCCATCCTTGAGGGTTTTTAAGAGCCAGCTATACAAAGCCTTGGCTGGGATGATATAGTTGGGGATAGTCCTCCTTTGAGCAAGGGGTTGGATTAATGACCTCCTGAGGTCCCATCCAACCCTAATTTTCTATGATTCTGCAATATCCCCAAAGTAAAATCAGGTCATATCACTCCTACAAGGTTCAGAAATTTTCAAAACAATGTGAGTAAACAAAGCACTTCTAGAACACTTAGAATATTCCTTAGACAGAGGGGACTTCAACCTGAACTATAAACAGAGTTGGTGTGCCTCCATAACGTACATGTAAAAACAGTTAGAACACCTAACCATGATTAAGGAAAATAAAAATCCACCAATCTTTCAAAGATTCCTTTCTATTCAAAAGAAATTGTTCTCTCCTATTACTAAAGAGGGACTGGTACGGAGAAAGTATCATAATACAGAAATAAAAATATTTAACACCAAGATGTTTCCATTAATCAGGCCTTTATTATTCTGATTTCATGCCCATTTCCGTTGTGGACAAAAGGGCAGAAAGAATCTTGAGGGAAGATAAATTTATTAGAGCTGCACCAATATATCAGTACATCTCAGATCAGCAAGGATAAAAGGAAAATTGACATTATCAGCAATCAGATATTTTTGGCCGATGTAGCCGATAACATCGCCAATAAATGCTGCACGCATGTATGTAGCCACAGAATGCACACAGCCAGGAATAAGGCCTGGCAGTGTGGAGAGCAGCATCTGACCAGTAAGTCTGCGGGTGAGAAAGGGGTGCGGGGGAAGTGAGGAAGATCACGATCCCCATGATAAGGGAGGGAGTGGAGCTGGGGCTGGGGCTGCCCAGCTGGGGCAGGGGCAGGGCAGGAGATGCAGAGACGGTGGGAGGCTCCCCACCTCTGTGAGCACCCCCAGGGGAGGCATGAGGGGGTGTGCCCTCTAGATTTGTGCGCAGACCAAGGGCAGACTGCCTGCTGCGGGCCGGCATCTTCCCAGTTGAGGGGCTGGACTGGGGCTATGCTCAGGGTGGACGGTGACAGTGCTAGGAGAGGTGGCTACAGGGTGAGCAATAGCCACCCCAAAATTTGCTGTAGCCCACTGTAGCCACTACTCCCACACTGCTGCTACCTACCCTAAGCATAACCCAAGGTTTAGCTCCCAGCCCCCCACTGAGAAGAGGCTAGTGCAGCCCCGGGCCCTGAGCCCACAGCAGGCAGCCCACCCTTGCCCCGTGCACAGATTCAGTGGGGCACATGCCCCCCATGCCTCCCCCAGGAATATGCCCACAACTCTGTCCCGCACCCTGCCCTGCCCGAGCAGTGCCAGCCTCTGCCCCAGCCCCATTCCCTCACCACAGGGGCCTCAATCTGCCTCCCACACAACTTACCAGCCAGACGCTGCTCTCCACACTGCCAGGCTGCATATCAGCTATTGGATCAGTATTGGCCGATATGGCTGGTTAATAATTGGCCATTGGTATCAGCCAAAAAAATCTTTATCGGTGCACCCCTAAAATTTATCTCATTAGACTTCAAGCTAAATCTACCCACTGCTCATAGAGGCAGATGAGAGAAAAACCTCCAACTTGCCAGTCAGCTAGGTACAGGTACAGATCTGAGCACAGCCTACATCTTTCTTCCAGTATGTTTGGTCAAAATTTGGGGGTTTTGTGAATGACTTACTAGACAGACTGTCTACTCTCTGCCCATCTCCTCATTGCACCTGCAAAGACTTCTCCTTGATTTTAGAAGACTGAAATAAAACAGCCCATGGATCAACTGATGGCACTTGTGATAAATGCATTCAAAGAGTAAGTGTATGCACTGTTAAAGGCAATGGGTCAAACTGCCTTTTGAACAAAAGAGAATAAATGCAATAAATGAAAGTGAAGGCCTCTAAAACAGTAATTTGATCTTCAGCAACTGGATGGCATACTTTATAGTATCTCCATTAATTCCAACAGCAGAAACAACAACACATATGACCTCACCATGGTCGAAGCAATTCCAGGGCTTCAGAGAATTTATTATTTAGAAATAAGTTCAGTGCCATTGCACATTCTTCCAGAGAACACTTGAGATCCATTTTAGATGCCCTAGTAAAAACAGAAAAATATAAAAGAGAAAAAATTAGTATTGGGGATTAGAATCCATAGTGGTCTTTATTTGCAAAATGAAACTGAAAAAACCACTGCACAAACATCTTGCCTATTTTGACCTTAAACATAAGTACTTTTTCTAATATCACTGTTTTAAGAACGTTGCCTTCAGTGGATTTTGCTTCAGGCCTAAAGACTCTCAGTGAACTACCTATCAAGCCCTTTGACAATGTGGTAGATTATTGACAAGATACAACACAATTTTTTATGTAACAGTGTTGCTCCAACATACCTAGAAATTACAGTTCACACAATAAAACTTGCAATGTCTACTATAGTATTTGTGTATGATGAAAAAGTTAGAAATATTTTCCAAAGATATTTGTCATAAACTTGTAACATCCAACTGCTTTTGCTTCTTCATTGTCAGCTACTAATATTGTGCACATCATTTTAATGCATTACGTTAGGGGTGTCAAGATCACCTACACCTATGGGCCAAATCCAAACTGCAGGGCTTCTCAAGGCCCAGGTTTTGCCCACAAGGTACCCTCACAGGCTGGATCTGGACCTGGCAGTGGCGCATGCCTTAATGCAACTGTTGCTGCCCCTATTGCTGGCTCTGTAGCAAGAAACTTAGCAGTAGGCAACACCATGCCCCCACACACCAGCAGCTCTGGGAGCCAGATAAAACCCCTGCATTACATATCCTCTTTTTCATGATTTTTTTATTTTCTTGTGGGGCCTTATTTTGATTAAGATGAAAATTTTCACACAACTTCATGAACTACTACATCCCCTCCTCCACAGCCACTCCCCTAAGAAATTCAAATCTTCCTCTGTATTATGCAAGTACATATAATTGCTCTGATATAAGAAAGAATTTGTCCCTGTATATTTGTTATCACCAGCATGTGGGTAAAGTTTGAAGAAAGAGTGGAAAAGCTGAAAAATATACAGACTGGTACAAATAGTTCTTTCCACTGTCCTGCTACATTTGTCATGATGGATTCACTTGGACTAACTCCATCGACTAGAAGCTCAGCCTCATGTGCCATGTACCTCAGGTATTATGTGCTCTAATTACCTTAACACCTATGCTTCTCACAATTTTTTATGTAGCACAGCAGTACTACTCTCCCTCTCTTACAAATAAGGAATGGAGGTACAGGTACGACGCATCTTTTGTGCAAGGTCACAGCAGTCTGTGGTAAAGCAAGGAACTGAACCCCTAGTCTTTTAAATTGCAGGATTCAAGTCCTGAGCACTGGATATTTCATCTCATATTAGGTTCTTTTAGGCCTTCTTGCCTAGGCCTTTAGGATGTTCTTGCTTCATATTTTTAAAGTTAGTCTGTGAAATAAGGTAGGCCTAGAAACATATTTTTAAAATAACAAAAGCTAGGATTCTCATTTAATATTGTGATTTGTGCAGTTAGATCTTGAAGCAAAACCTTTAAAAAAGATAGACTCACAATAAAATCATAGAAGCTAGACACTTAAAAGAATTCAGATATCAGAATTAATTTCATCCTCCTGTTCTACAAATGTGTAATCCTCTAAACATGTTTCTTAACGTCTGTATCTATGGCATATCAGCCTCTACCCACCACACTGAATCTTTATCAGATTAGTCTTTTCCCATTCCTCAAAAAGGAAGGCACTTTTACACCTTCCCATTTACTCTCCATGAAGAAAAGAAAGAGCACAGGGACAGCTTATCTTTCAGCAGAGGGAGCTGGTAGTCATGGTTATAGGCCTGGAGAGCTGCACTAAGCCCAGCTCTGGGAACACCAAAGCAATTGTGATGCTATAAAAAGGTCTTGCTGATGCCCAGAAGGGCTGAGCTCACAGTTTGCATCTTTTGAAACAAAAGACAGCAAGTTAGCAACATAAAGGAGCTTAAGGTGTAAGAGCTCAACTCTGTAAACTGTGTGTCACCCATGCAGAATTTACAGAAGTTACTTGTGCGAATAAAGGGTACACATGAAAAAAGATGGCAAAATTAGGCTCTAAAATAAGATTAAGTGAGATGTTTAAAAGGATGTGCATCCATAATTAGGGCCAATAAAAGAAAACTATGCACAGCAAACAGCAACTCTGACTGCCACTTATTATGGTGCTTTAAAAAGGGAGATGAGCACTCTGAAAAAAATCAGACCCCAATTCTGGACAGTAAGGTCTTTCAGACATTTAGGAAGTATGGGGGATGAAAGTAACCATGTGCTGTGATTTGGTACATATGTAGTAATTCCAAAATTTAAATGTTCTTTGTCTGCACACAAAGTATGTATTGATTTGTATTTAAGGCAACAGGAAAGGGTGGCAGGCATGGAGCATTTGGAATATAATGTAATAGACTCCCTTGGGGTCTAGTCCTGTTGCGTATGCACACAATTAAACTCAAGTTTTGCATGACTGAAGGCTGCAGGAAGTAATTGAGGTAAGCATCAAGCAGCTTGTCCTCAATCAAAAAACTGCTGTTCTCATTACAATACAGGAGAATTTTAACAGGGACTTCAATGGAAGTATGATGGGCACTCTTAGGTGACTAATTAACCACCAAGAAGGGCTTCATTCTGGAAAGTGCTTTTCAAGTCCAGTTCAAATTCAACTCTAAAAAAGTGCTTATATAAAGATAAAATGCAGTGAGATTTTTGCTTTTTCCATAAATCTTTATTGGGAAAAAAACCATGTTTATTAAGACAATGCAAGTTAGACTGTTATATTTGTTTAAGCCCTTGTTAAACATACCTTATAATCATCTAAAATGCAAGACATTACATTCTGAAACTGTCCAAAGATTCACAGCTCTAACTCCAATTCAGTGTCATGATTAGACGAAACAAGTTCTATGGGAAGCAATCAGAGTCCACCCCATGTAAGTGATAGGTAAAGCAGGGCCGAATACTCTCCATGGTGCTGTTTTTCATCATTTCCTGGATTCCACAGATAATTCTTCTTTTCTTAGAAACGCAAGACTCCACTACACGGCAATTCATAGAAAGCATCCTAATCAGAATTAAGTTCCCTGTGCTAAAATGTTCTATCCTTAATTTAGGAGAGAACAAAAAAAAGGTTTCTGAGATCTGGTAGTTTTCGCACATCCAAGTCGTAAGAAAAAACAAAAATCCTTTAAAGTGCAGATGTTTATTGAACCTGGAAAATGGGGACACACCAGATAAGAAATAACGAGGCTTATACTCAGCACTGTTTTATTCAGTGTCTCATCAATGTAAAAAATCAATTGTTAGAAACCCGTCTCAAAATATAATTGTATTATTCATTGCAATGTTTAAATTAAGAAATTGTGTTTTGAAATTTATCATCAGTGCACGGAACTCCTTCCTGTTGCCATATTCATCAATAAGCTCCATGAACAGAGAACAGTTGCAAAGATTTAGGTTCAGTGTCCTATAAGATGTATGAGACCAGCAATGTCAAGTACTACATACAATGGAATGAAGTAACGAAGTGCCATATTGCAATACACATGCACAAAAACAGGGGCAGAGTTACAGTTGCTATTTAATCATCAGATTTTCAGCTGAGATTACTTTAAATTGCAAAGTTTATTAGCGTTAATAAAGAATTTGCAACTGAAAAAAATTAAACGATCAATAAAATCATTTACACTGAGTAACACAACGTTACATTCTAAGCTTTTCCCTTTTCATCATGTCTTTAGAGGGACGTTTTAAAAACAGAAAAGAAAAGGTTGTAAAGAGTTTAAAGTATTTAGCTTTCACTTAGGGCAATACAATTTATGAAAACCTATTTCCTAATAATTTATAACAAACTTACTTTTAAGAAGAGCAGAAGATGATACGCATAGAATAAGCTAATTGAAGGTTTACAACAAATACTGATTTCCCTGAGGATACAAATCTCAAATAACTTTACAAGACTTCCTCCAAGTTAACAGAGAACATAGCTTGCCCTTTTGTTTAATCTACTTAATATACTATAATGTATATACTTTCTAACTGTATTATGTGAGTTCCCGGAAATGAGATTAAACTAGCATTAGTTTGAGAATGTGTACCAATAATTTACAGATTATCCCAAATGTTGTGGCTACCCCAAAATTAAGCCCTAAAAAAGCAACAAATGTCTTGGATTTAAGTTTAAATTTAAGTAATCTAACTACAATAAAGCTTAGAAAATTATATTTAAGGCACCTACATGACCTTAGGCCTACTTATATCGTTCCCTGAAGAACTGGTTCCGCCACAAAAATTAGAGCCATCACGCCCACAGTTTCCCCATCAGTAGTAGAACTCCTTCATGCTTTCAGCAGAGCAACACAGCGCGGTTTGCAAATGGCAGAAAGCTTTTGCTGTCGTAGGGAAGCTGCCAGAAATAGGTGTAGACTACCAGTCCTTTCTGTAGGCAGCCACAGCCCTTTTAAGAGATGGTGCCTCCCAGGGTGCACCATGTGTCCTGATGGCCCACCTAGTATAAAAGTGTGGTCACCTTGAACTGCCAGAAGCTGAGACAGTGGCAGCACACTCAAGAATAGCTGCCTGCAGAGGGAAGGCTTGTAATGTCAACAAGCCCTTAATACTACCATACAATAAACATGACATTTAGGAATGTGCAAAATTTTGACAGCCGTTTCGTTTCAGAGGTGTTTCGGCCTATTTCAGGCACCTGAAACACCAAATCTGAAACTAAACGAAACTATCCGAAAGGTTCTGTGTGAAGCCTTTCTCTGCCTTTTGTGAGCTTTCTGCCTGGAAGCAACAGCATGTGAAAGGTACTGGCTGGCTGCAATGACTGGCTTCCTAGTAGTCAGTCTCTTCCTAGTCTCTATTCTTGGAAAGGACTGGACACACCTTTCCGATACATTATAGATAGAAGATAAATTGCACCAAGATATATTACACCTTGTACCCGCTTGGCCTCGTGTAGGCGATCCCTTGCCGCCTTGGAGCGTGCACCTAGTGTCAGCCGTGGAGGTTGTTCCTGTGGCCTTGACGCTGGGTCGCATTCACC